GCAGATCGCGCATCTTCGATAGCATTGGTACACTCTTAGCTCTATTGAGCGTTCTCTTCACTACCGTTAGTAACACAATTTCATTACGTATTGAAATTGTAGTTCGAACATTTTCAGATTGAAGTTAGCCATCGTCACTTACATTCCGAATATAAAGATTTAGTTAGGCGAAGCATTTTCATCGCATTTATGAATTTAAGCTTGCTAATCTATTTTGTTTTGGAAATCGTTATGAAAGCTTGGTCGTATGGCCCGGACAAATATTTTCGTTCATCAGCAGCAAATATTTTAGAAACAGCTGTCGCTTTTACATGTTTTGTAAGTTTCAACTTGATTTCCACCAGCAAGGTATATCTGAGCGTCTCCTAGACATTAGAAATCATTCACATGGGAATCCATGGATCACCTGTTGTTTCGGAACAGTATGATATAACGATAAGTTGATTTGATCAGATTCGATTTCGATTGTAATGTAGAGATTTGGAATTGACACAGAAACAAATTCCATTTTTAACGTTATGGGAGGCGAACAAAGCTTGTAATATGCTGTTTATCTATCGATTGATTCGATTTTTGCCCGCGTCGAAAAACATACAAATCATTGTGGGCACAGTGATTGATGAAATACGAAATGGTGGTGCATTTTTCGGAGTTTTATTCGTAAGTTCATTGCGACAAATTCGATAATGTATAATGGAAGAATGATCGGTAGAGTTTTTACTATGCATATTCCATCCTCGGTATGGAATTGTTTGGAGGAGCCGTCGGAAACCTTTACTTACATCAAAATCAAACGAACATAACGTATTATTGATGAGTAAATAGTGTTTCACATCGACTTTCTATGTGTTCTTTAGTGTCTGTGGTACATATGAACAACTTGAATATTGGCCAAATGGTTTTGACGACTTTTTTGTAAGTGTGCTCATTTGAATCATTTTCAGATGGCTAGTTCTTGTACTTTCAAGGCATCAATTGTTACACTTTACAATATCATGATTGTCAATCAATGGTTTGTTTTTGTAAATGCTTTCCGCGCTGCAACCAACACGAAGTAAATCATTTTCGAACATGTGATTAATTCTTCTCGAATTCGAATGTAGATGGAGTGAATTGTATTTCATCTTCTGGTATCTATTCGTCACAACCATTGGATTGAACATATGTCTTGCCTTGAGTGGTGATGTAAGTCTTTCGAGTTTGTTCTAAAGAGGATATTCTTCACTGAGAACTTGTAGATTCATGAAGCGAAAAAGAAACGAGCTGATGATCATGAAGAATTGATTGTATCGAATATGTTTGACATATATCGGCGAGTATAGAAGAAAAATAATATCAAGAATGACATTTTTTTCGTGTTTAGATCTCAATTGAAAGAACCACCACCTGAAATGATTTTACAACAGTTGAATAGACATCCCTATGTGAACTTTCGTGAAGATACAAGTAATGCTTGATGGTGCTGTTTCCTGCTTCGTTTATACTTCGATTTTTTTTTCAATTTTTTCGAATATTTTAATATTTTCATACATAAAATTATGTTAATAGGAAATGATTTTAGAAATCCAATCAGAATAATAAGAAATTTTTGTATAAGTGCCTAAACCCGAACAGCTAAATCCCCAAGAAATTAAACCAATTAGATACCATCGATTATGACGATGTAAAACCATGGGTCCACCTGAATCGCCCTAAATATATAAACATACAGATTCTTGGCAAATTTATGTGTGATTATTGAAATTCACTTGACAAGCATCGCATGTTCCATTTTCACATAGACCCGCGCAGAGATTTGTTTCCCAACTGACGGCATTCAATCGACAACGATCATTCGGTTGAATGGGTACTTCGACTTCGCGTAAATATCGATAATCTCCCGTACCTTTTTGAAATAAACCCTTACATTAAATTGTACTCACTTCAAACGATTAGACAAAGTCTACCTTGAGTTGCACCCCACCCAGTAACAAGTGTTCGTTCGCCGTACTGAATACTATCATCTTTGGATGGTAGACAAATAGATCGAATAAATGGATTGAATACTAATGGTTCCGTTAAACGAAGTAAAGCAATGTCATGCATCCATCTTGTCAATTTACCACTGTATAGTGGATACTACGGCGATAAAAAGAGTAAAATATGTGGATATTATCGCGTGAAATACATACGATAAGAATTTGCTTGATAGTTCTCGCAACTCGCCATGGTCCTCTTCGATGTCGATCATGCATCCCAAATTCTGCTAATAAACTTTTTGGATTCGATCTAGAGTAACATAAACACTCTTTGACCATGTCTGCTTTTGTTTCTCACATACCCATTAACACAGTGTGCAGCCGTAACGAGCCATCTGGCATTGAGAATACTTCCTGGAAGATTTTTGCATAACTTAGGGAAAGTTCATACAGAAAGGTACGCCAATCTCACCTCCGCAATAATGACCGCGAATGTTGAGAAGAACTTGCCATGGATGACTGTGTGGTATTGCTTGTCGACCACCGACGATACGACTTGAGATTTCCCGATAATATTCATTACCGTTGGTCCATGTCAGGCCACATTCGGAGAATATCGATGTTCGAGCATTGAACGGCTTTTGCGCAGGTAAAAACGTGGATTTCAAGATACTTGGCATAGTAGTTAATAACGCTAAAAATCACTTTCAGTTTCATCCAGGATCGATTAAGTTTACGAATGACTTACGTGCAGTGTGTTTTAAGTAATATTTCATTTGAAAATCAACCTCCAGACTTGGATCGAGAACATGTAGCGCTATCATTAGCATTCTTCCAATTCCACCAATACGAAGATTCTGTCGATTACCACATATTTCAAGTTTTTCGTGTGGTAATCCAATTGTCCACAAATTAATCGATCCACGATGACAACCTGTATGAAAATATTCTTTCATTGAGATTGGAATATATAAATAGTCAAATTCGACGAAAATCTTCTATAAAATTCGAAGATATTCATTTTAAAAAACCTGTAAATCATCGAAATCTTCGTTACTTGTTGATTTGAACTGGCCACTAACCATTGACAATGTACAGGTGTCTTCATTGACACTAGAACGCTTTTATTTACAACGAGAATACCACTATTATCAGCAAAACTACGTATTAGAGGACAGCTCGTTGAAGTGATACAACGAATATGGTCAATTAATATGACCATCATCAATGTAACGGCGTTGCCTAAATAGTTCGATACGATAGAAATCATTCGGGAGATGAACAAATAATCGATCTTACCACCGGATAATAAAATCATCATTTTGTTGAATTCGATCCGACCGGATTACATAGTTCATTTGTAATAGATCTTCAGGGGTTTCAACCTTTTAATCAATGAGAAAAAGGTATCTTTTCATTTAACCTTTAAGAAGAAAAAACCCTGATAAATACAAGCAAATCACATTGTATTTCTAAACTTGATCAATTCGATTTTTCTGTTGATTTCTCCGTAAATCTTCTTGAGAAGAAATGATCTGGTTGATGTCTTGAGATAAGGATAATATTTTAAGATGATCGTGCTAAATTCTTTTCATTTGATCTTCATTGGACAGCTGATTTTATTTGGCTTCTTTTCTTTCTTTATCCTCATGAGTATACACAATAAACGTATTTATGCAAATGATCATCTTCTTGACAAAGAAGTCTGTCGCGCATTTTGTTGCTTAAATTCAAGATGCTTTATCGTCTCAATTAGTTTATTGCATTTGAACATGCGTGTGTATACATATAAAGTAGAATTTGAAGTTTATTCTTTACTTCTCATCCAATTTCATATCTGTGGATAAGTGATGAATATAATAACAGGTTTATACCTCCAATCGAATGATATCGATGTAATCGTATTGCATACAAGTGTAGATGTCTGTGTCCAATGTTTCACTGTTGTTTTGAACACATGATGATGATGATGATGATGATTACAAATTTCTACGCCTATAAACTTAAGAAGTAGTCAGCTCGATTGTATACACTCAATTTATTGCTTATAAGTTGTCTCTCTTTCTCCATGTCTTGTCGTCAGTAGTAAACGAAGAACGTACGTAGCGAAGGCAATTGTCCAGTACCATTGGCCGGTCATTGACTCACGCCGACATCGCGCGTCTTTCTTTCTCTTCTCTCTTTACTGTCGATAATAAAAGGGCTAATTTCTATATGTGCTCTTACAGCCCTTTTTACCGCTTGTGTGGTAGTAATGGTTGATGTGCAGGAGAAAAAGAGAGAAAAACGAACGGAAGGACAACGACCAAAACAATCGATAGCTAGATGCATATACGAAGAGTCAGTTGCTTGCGTGCCCCCTGCATTTGTCGACCTAACAGTGATTATAACTTGATCGTTCGGGTTCAATTTTTTCTTCTCCTTCTCGTCTTTCGCTGAGACAACAGTGTTAGTAATGATCATGATGATGATTCCAAGTTAAACACAATTTGACTCTTTCTCTTTTCGTCGACTTTATCATTTTCTTCTCTACTCAAACGGACAGTGCGTATTTGTTAAAATTTGAACGAAGCGTTCGTAAGCTTATTAGGTTTATTTTCTCTCTACAATCATCTTGTCGTTACTCGACGTAAGTGTATCATTATGTAACTCCAAAATCTATGTTCACACCGAAAAGTAATTGATTGAAACTTCAATACTGCACTAATACCAGCCTATACTGCTTCTAATTTACAATACAACTGGCAGACACGCGCTGTCTAATATAAATATTGATTATCGTTTTGATTTAATATTTATCTTGCACGATGTGAGCAGTAATTATCTTCATATTCCAGTTTGTATTATTTTGAGTATTTCTGCTCTTTTTCTCTGAGTAAATTTGGAATATATTCCATACATGAGGTCGCCACAGTGTTTTAGAGCTATTGGTTAATAGATCGATCTTGTTTATCAATCGTTCATCTTCTTCTTTCGTTCCATTTTTTTTTCAGATGCATTATTGCTCTAAGAATCAATAGGTTTTTCCTTCTGACCGCAACAATGTCAAGTCTTCTTCCATCGTCGTCTCAAATCAATGCAAATTTAAATACCGGTAATAATACATTACAACGATCAGCGGTTAACAATGCTGCAGCCGATGCACTGCGAAAAAAAATGCAACAATTGCGAGATGAACTCGAACTGGTTAAAGATGATCTAGAACGTTCACGAAAAGATTACGAGAAAGAACAACGCGCTCGAGAAGTTGTATGTAGAAGATCTTGTTTTGACTTTTTTGTCGAGCGTTCTCTTCGTTTAGGCCGAAGCAGATGTAAGTCAATTGACACGAAAACTGCATTCACTTGAAGAACAACTTGAACGAACAGAGGAACGATTGGTTCAAACTACAAATAAACTGGATGAAGCATCGCATACTGCTGATGAACGAGAACGGTACGTTTTAAAGACTCTCTTCTCTCTAACATATTTGCTTCTCCATTTAGAACAAGAAAAATGTTGGAAAATCAATTAAATCTGGGTAGCGACCGTTCTGAAATGTTAGAGATTCAATTGAAAGAAGCGCGTACATTGGCAGCTGAGTCAGATAAAAAATATGACGAAGTAGCAAGGAAATTACTGATACAAGAAAATGAACTTGAAAAAGCGGAAGATCGAGCCAAACGATCTGAAATGTAAGACGAATAACCGATAATTCCTTCGCTCATTTTCATTCAAAATCCTCTTCTAGGAAATGTGTAGATTTAGAACATGAAATGAAAAATCTTCACCATCAATTGAAATCTTTCTTAGCTCGAATTGATGATGTAAGTGTAAGAGATTATCGATCGACATCCTTTCTATTGGAATATTTCTAGGCTCAAAATAAAGAACAAACCTATGAAGACCAAATTCGTCGTCTCTCTCAACATCTAAAAGATGTAAGTCACTACAAATCGATCTTTGTTCGGAAACTGTACACTCGGAAAGAAACTAGGCTGAACGGCGATTAGATCGTAGTTACGATGAACGAGATCATCTACAAAAGGTTGTAGAGTTCTTCGCAGGTAGTGAAGCCGAGAATGAGTGTGAAGTTTTGTTTGTTTGTTTTTTCTGCATATGCATGAATTTTTCAATTGCTGTGTTGCATGTCTAGGCTGAAACTCGTGCCGAATATTCTACCAAACAAGTGCAACGACTACAGCGTGAAGTGGATCTACTCGAAGGTTCGTTCTATTACTATTGTGCATGAATGAAATGCTAATTATAAGAATGTTTGCTTTGGATGACAGAAGATCAGTTGGATGAAACCACCGTTTCTTTATCTGTTTTTAGAGGAACTCCAAGGCGAACGCGATCGTTCTAAAACTCTTCAAAATGAAATGGAACGTTGTTTCTCGGATTTACAATTACTTTAAACAAAAAATGCAAAGCTACGATGTCAACGCATCGAATCTCCTCTGATATATGTCAGAATACTGATTGATCTCTTCTTTCTGCATTACTATTAGCGTACAATCTCCGTTCGCCAATTGTCAATATATTGTCTTTTTGTGTGCGCATGTGTGTGTGTGTGTGTGTGTGTGCTATTTCTCTTCGTTTTAACTCTGAATAAAGTAATCATATTATTATCTCCCGTTTGTTTTTTAGTTCTTCAGAAACAGAGCTCCTCTTTGCTTTGCTTTGCTTTTGTACGTTCATGATAGTCGACGTAAATCCTGTATATGTAGCTTCAGATGTTTATCCATTCGTGGGACGAATTTGCTAAACAAGCCGAACGGCTGTATTTGAATGATCCACTGGCTTGCCGTCTTTGTTTGAAATATCGCAATGAGAACCTTATCATGCGCATCACTGATAATCATACGTGTCTGCAATATAAAACAAAATATGCGCAAGATGTGAAAAAGATGGAAAAATTCATGGCAAGTCTTTTACGACATATGGCATCAAAGGAAACATAAGGAAGACGAAAGTTGTTGTCTTCGTGTCGTCTCGTGCGATGATCATTGGGAATAATAATAATAATAAACAAAAGAAAATATCATAAAATTTCGTGTCTCTATTGTTTTGTTTGAAGTCTATTCATCAAAGAGAAATGAATACTTGTTGTTTTATGACCTGTTCTGTTATCGATTCACACCTTTAGTCTTATATATCTATATGTGTCTCTTTTTCTTTTTTAATACGAAGTGATTTAGCAAAATGATTGAGACGAAAGATTGATAAGACGATGAATCTTTCATCCCTTTTTCTCTCTCCTCAATCGGATAGTATCTGAAGTTTATTGATTATTACATGAGAAGAGAGTGAACATGGTTATTAACAAGCAATCGACTAATGATGCATAGAGGAAGAATGATGAATTTTATATTAAAAAGATGAATGACGTGATGATGCGATCAACGAAGCCGACAGTTTAACCGTTGGATGTTTCATTGATAATGAGAGAAGAGGATATAAAAATTAAGGTTGAAAAAGATCGAATGAAATAATAGACTCTGTAGGCTTTGTATCAATAGAAAAGAATGGAATTGAAAATTCTATGACGGAAGCTTTATTTGTAAGGATATAAAGGCAAAACAAAAAACACGAGACAAAGAGAAAACCAATCAATATTTTGTACAAAAAAATCCATCGAATTATGAAGAAGAAAGAAGAAGGAGAATCATTATTCGACTAGAATGTGCGCAAGAAGAATTAGAATCATTGAGCTGAATATTTCTCTTGATATTGGTGGTTATGTGCTGGTTGATGTAGGTGATTCGTTCACTGAATTGGATAAAAACGATGCGAGACCCATTGCGGGCAGCGCAAAATTAATCGATGGTTTTGAAGGCGAATGTTGTTGATGATTTTGTTTCGGAGACGAACTAGAAGAAGTCGGTGATGAAGCTGACGAATATGAATTTGCTGTGTCAGTTGAACCGTTGAGTATTTGAGATGGTGGAATAGATCGTACTCTTGTGGCTGCTAGCCGAGCAGCTGCGACGGCTAATGGATTGATCGGAGGAAGAGCTGCGGTGCCGGTTGACTGTGTTGAAGGTGGAGGAACACAACCTGATGCTGCAGCTGCATACATATAGGAAAAGTATGAAAATGGATCGCCCGGGTAACCTGGCCAAGGAAAAGTGGGTTTTTGTCGTTTATCTTTCATTCGTCGATTTTGAAACCAAACCTATTGAGAGAAAGAAACATCATTCGTATTTGTAGACAATCAATCAATAGTTTCTACTTTGATCGTCGATTCTGGTAATTGTAATTCTGCAGCCAACTCACAACGTCTTGGTCGACTAACATAATTTTCTCGAAGAAATTCCTTTTCAAGTCGTGCTAGTTGTTCGCGTGAAAAAGCTGTTCGATATCGACGAATGTTGTCATCGTTCAGATTCGATGACGTATTATTATTATTATTACTTGTATGAGAGTGATGATGGGAATTGATTAAATTACTTGGCATATTGTTGGACTCGTCTAAAAATTCGAATAGAATAAGAATGGATTGCTATTAATAAGAACTTCTCCTTACCATTATCATCAGAAAAGATTTCATCGTGAAACATTCTCGAACTACTTGCTAATAGATATGTCGATGGATTACTACTACCTAACATTATCAAATGAAAGATTCGATTATCAATAGCAGACAAAATCTTTCCCTCTTTCTCTTTTCTCTCTCTCTCTCTCTCTCTCTCTTCTTCTCCGCCGTGCTATGGAGTAATGGTAGGAGAGAGAAAGTAAAACAAGCGATTCGATTGGTTGAGATCAACGAAAAAGAAAAATTAACAATAACTGGTCAGAGAGAGATGGAGAGCAAATAATTGCTAATATCATTAAATATAGAATGAACGTGAGGTGTGAACAATGAAAAGCATAATTAACAATTTACTTCTTCTCGCAAAGCTTCGAACGAATGTAAACAGATAAGACTTTGCATGAACAATTGCAGGATGAGACAATTTATAAATATGAAAGACGCACTAAGTCGGACATAAATGTCGCTGATGATTTTGCAAGAAAAAAAAGAAGAAATATTCGATCGGATACAACTAATTGGCTGCATATAACAAATCTAATCACTACTCCGCCCTTTCAACAAACGTTTGTGTCTCTTTTCATAAAAACATCTCTATATGTTCAGAGACACGCGATGTTTAGATGTGTCCATTCGACATATTCGAGGGTCAATAAATCTACACATCCAAATGACCATCATCTCATGGCCGCCAGTCACAAACATCGAATGTCGTTTATCAATGATAGATAATCACACGTTTTCACATGACCCTTCGTCGAGCAAAATGATTTCAACAAATCGTTTTCTGTCGTTTTCAATTTCATCTGCTTATTAAAGGTGTCAATTGATTAAATAAATCTTTCGCATTTCTATCACGACAATGAACATCTCCTTAACATTACCAATCCCTATAAATATTGTCTTTCTACTAGTGCGCATTGTTTTGCCTTTTGCTTTTACGAGCGAAACAAAGATATTGCGCGATGTGATAACAGAGTTTGAAGTTTCTCGATTAGTGTCTATTATTAGAGAACATGTTATTGTCAATTGATGCCGACGAACAAGTCTCATCTAACAGATCGACATCTGTTTGAGACTCTCCTAATAGTACCTCTTTTCTAGTGAGTATTGAGATGCACTATTTTTAAGACACAAACAGCACAGTAAGAGAAAGAGGGAAAGGTCAAGTTAGAAAACGAAGAAACTTACTATTGTCATTTGCAAAAGTCAAGTCATCAGTTGTATCTTGGTAATAGTTTTGTTCGAAGATGCCCATGACTCTTCAGGAAAAGAAATAATTTGAAATGAATCGTACCGAATAAATAACAATGATCGAAATGCATGATGTTTCGTTTCTCTTTACATTCTTTCTCTTCTGATTCGTTCTTATTTTCAAATAATATTCAACACCAATCACACTCATGGAGGTGCGATCTGTGTGCTTTTTTTTCTATTACTAGCAATAACCATTTTTCGCACGGCTAATTCTTATTTCCTTTGCCGCATCGATATAAATACATCGTAAAAGATGTCTAATTGCTAAACATAAATTCATAAAGACAATGTTTATCGTTATTATGAACCTCATTGCATGGAAAGAGAAAGGGGAAGTTCCGGTATGAGGACAGGGAACGATCTTGACAATTTCCGACACTCGATTTGTTGAATTGTTCAACAGATTGAAAACTGATTAAATGATCTTGGCTTGTGATCTCTTTTTGTGCAAATTAATCGAAATTACCGTGTTGTATTTCATGTTCTTTCTGCATCATTTCGTATCTGTTTGAAATGGTAATTTTTTCTAATATCTGTTTTGATATACACACATCTGTACGTATGAAAATTCTCAAGAGCGATCAGAGAAATGAAAATAATAACAACAGGGACGAGTTTGATGACGATTAACACGTTTTAGTCAAGACTCGTTACACATTTCAATCAAAGTAGAAATATTTCGACATGTGTTATGTTGTTACTGCTTGATTACATCAAATTGAACAGAAGACGAAAGATCAAACGCGAAACTCATGGTGACAAACCTTGAAAAGAATTTGATATCATCATTTTTATGAGTTGACTTACGTCACGCGGGAAGGAGAAGACGCTGACCTAGTTTCATGGCAAGTATACACTTGTTCATATGCATCCGTTAGATTAGAATATAGTTGACAAATCTTTCTTTGATCGAATGTATGATAGAGATCAAAACATCAACATATCGTGTGTACGATCAAACGAACGACACAGATCATAAATCACTATGCTCATCTTCATTAGCTTGGAAAACAATATAATGAAATCTACATATCGATTTGATATTTCTTTGGAACAGAGCGCCGCCCACGATAGACTAAAGAGATAAGGGAAACGAAACGCGGTATTCACGTTTCGCTTACCTGCAAATTACTAAAATCAACTGTTTTTTTCTCTCTATTTGAAGAATGATGCGTTACCGTTTCGCTTGTATGCATAGATAAAGATGAATTGCATGTGTGTGTTCTGCCTTTCTTTAGATCTAAGTTAATTTGTAAGAATCAGTATTAGAAAAGTTCAGATTTATTCTTATAGTCAGCGATGATAACCTTTCTACGAAATGAAATTTGATTTTGTGACATTATGTATATGATTACCGATTTAAAGAACATTTTTATTATGAACTATTCGAAAGAACTCTCGACTTGCTTATCTTATGCGTCATAGAAACGATCTATTGCAATGTTCTCGATAAATAAATGGACTTATAATCAGTTTCACAGGGACCTTCTATAGAAGTCATTGATGGATATTCTATTGTGCACTGACACATAGCGCCATCTTCCACATAGAAACAAAAGTTTTTTTTTTCCAAAAAAACATTCCAACGATCGTTGATTTCGCTAATTTTTTTAGTTAGAATTTTTTACTGATTTGAATTTAATTCGAATGAATTGATCGATCTCGTAACTTGCAAACAAACAATCGACCACACTTCCAATTATTGATCTAGCGATATCCTATTGGGAACCGATATAAAAAAACAAAATAACACGTAGTTAATATCCTTCCAATTCCAATGTTTCGTCGTGGTACCAAACGACCACGCTTCAGTCTTGGTGGCCATCCTATCCTTGACCATGACGATTCATCGAATCATTCAGGCCTTGGTATGCCTGAATACGAAGAAGATTCATTGTCTCAGCAACATCAGGCAACAACAGCTAGCAATTTAGATTCCAGCTTTTCCTATGGTCATTTCGCCCCGGATCGGCCACGACGTGCACCGAAATCTATTACAAAATCTCATCAAGATGATAACACGAATTTGAACGCATGTCTCGATCATCTCTTAAGAATTCTTTCACGAAAAGATAAACAAGGGTTTTTCCAATATCCGGTCACTGATCAAGTGAGTTATTGCCGCTCTTTATCGGTATATCTTTGAATAAATCTTTCGATTTAGTTTGCACCTGGTTATTCTACAATAATTACCCGTCCAATGGATTTTTCGACGATGAAAAAGAAAATCAGTCAGGATGATTATTATAATATCATTGAATTTCGTGCAGATTTTGAGTTGATGTGTGAAAATGCAATGAAATACAATCGTCCTGATACGATCTATTGGCAAGCTGCAAAGAAACTTCTGGCCACTGGAAGTAAACTAATGAACAAAGACAAAATACTTGGTTTTCGCCGTAGTTTGGAATGCTTTTCACGTTTAACCGAACGAGAATTAGGTTTCCGTATTGATGCTTCGAATCATTCAACCGATGAACAAATAAGCAACTCCACTGAACAGTTAGATTCATCTACAGCCGACACGGACAATCTTTCTTCGATGAGTGTCAGCCAAGCATGTTCTCAGCGAAAGCCGAAATTGATATTAAAGTTACCCAAGTTTTGCGAAAAGATTCCCGCAGTCATACCTGACGAAGAAGAGGAGGAGGAGGAGGAGGAAGAATACTCTCCAGAAGAAATACTCCTTCAGGCGAAACAAGCTGCTCTGAGCGCGCGAGAAAAATTAAAATTACGCCCGACAATATGTTCGTATGCATTAGCATATCAACGTGCTAATGCCAAAACTTCTCTTCTTTATGTTAATCAAGATGATTTCTCTCAACAAATAGTTACACTGAGTGAAACCAACGTGCTGTCAACAAATGAAAGTGCTTCGATCTCTTCAGCATTACCAGTTGTGAATGGCAATGAACAACAAACTTATTTAGCGTCGAAACACTATTTAGAAAATGGGCCCTTTTCATCGAATGCATCGCAGTGTGATTCAACGTTTTCATCGATGCCTAAAGAAGAATTGGATCTATTGATACATACATATGGGAGTGAATTTTCAGCGCAATATGCTGTCTCATTGATGGATTATGTCAAAGACGCCGGAGATTTAGCCTTAGCTTATGTTGATAGGTTTTTATCGGTGCTGACAAATGGTGAACACGATAATTTTACCATGAAAAAACGAGACAAGCCACCTAAAGTCGAAGAAAATGAGAATCCTGTGTATCAGACAACGCCAGCTAATAGTAGGAAGCAATTAACACATACTTACTCCGATGAACATCCTTCTTTTTTCTGTATGTTTAGTTTTACCAAGTGATTCAACATTGGATACGTCGACTCAAATCAAACAAGAAGCAATCATGAATGTCGATGGTAATTTACACCAGCAACAGTTGAATTCGACATTTGATGACGATTTCAAATACCAAATGCAATTTCGTCAAACCCAATACGAACATTCATCGCAATCACAGCAACACCAGTCAACGAACGACTATGATCTCGCGGAAAAAGCTCTTTTTGATCTCCCACAGATACCCAATGGAACCGACCCGGGACTATCATCAGAATCCATCCATCATAATTTAGACATGATGCACAGCAATGATTCGACATTTGACACTCTGTAGGAAAAGAGACATGTTATTTATTTTGTACAAACGAATTTCTATTTGTTTTCTCTGATCTTGTAAAAAGATATAGAAAAACTAGGGACAGTGAGTGATTCCTAAATGTAAATGAATCTATTTTTCAGATTGTATTATATGAAATCAATGAAGTGATTCCTGTTGTTTATTTTTAGATCTTTTCTGACAATCATCTAGTTTTTATTTCTTGTGCAATCGAATCATGTCGAAATCTGGTCAAACACTTCGAATTCCACCGGTAAAAACAAACATTCCTGCATCGAAACTCAACCGATTCTCTTTTATGTAGATTCGTCCTATACCTGAATTTGTCGGCGGAAATGATTGGGTCATCCCTGCATTCAATCCCAAAGACTTTGGTGCACTTCAAAAGCAAATCATCTCGAACCTGATCTACTATCAATCAAACTACGGTGCCGTGGCAGTCACATTTCTACTACTAGTCGCGTATGATGACAGTGGATTGCTTCGTGCATAGTCAATCGTTTTCTTTGAAATAATTAGGTTCTTTCGTCCAACAGCTCTTATTTTCGGTTTGATTGTCGTTGCCGGTCTCATCGCAGGCTATGTCTACGCAACTCGTCAAAAGATTGCTTTGCCACCATTTTTACATGATCGTCCGATCTTCATTCTTGCTCTCGTTTTGGTTACTGGCTTCGTCGTCACTCGAATGTTTGGAACCATGTTCGTTTTTCTCTTTGGTATTGCTTTTCCGTTATCAGGTAGCGCATTGTCCATAGTTCAATCGATTCATTTCACTATATTTTCTCTTTGTTTTCAATAGCCATCGTTGCTCATGCAATTGCTCGTAAACCAACGTTACAAAATAAAGCCGAAAATACTGTTGAAAATTTGTCATTACAATCAACACCCATGGGTCTTTTACTTACGTGGTTAGGTGCTCAAGCAGCTGCTGCTGAAGAATCCACCCCAACAACCAAACGCAAATAGATATTTTTAAGTCATGGAATGAAACAGCTCGATAGTTTTTCGTTATACTTCTCTGCTTTTTCTTAGTCATCTGGTTCTTTTTTCTTCTCGATATTTTGGTGATCTGCTCTTTTCTTTTTGTGTGCGTGTGTGTTTATTTATGGTGCTATCAGGGTACTTTTCGTGTGCAATTATTCTTCTCTTCCTCATATTCAGGCTTTATCTGTAGGCGTTTTATTTTGTGTGAAAGATCTTTCTCTGTGTGTGTGTTTAGAGAACTTTTCTTGTTAGAAATGTTTGTTTGACATGATAAAAGAAAACAAGAAATATGGTGAAATTGATATCATTGTATTATCTATGAAACTGATCTCGAGAGTCTGACCAATAAAGATACAATTTGTCTCTTTATTGATAAAAATTGAGTACAGAGAAAAAAAAAGGTTACAATTGATAGGCTACAACCACCATTCTATGATATCGTCTAAATCGTTACTCAATGGTCTGATTATATCATGAGCTGGTGGATAGTAAATTGTTGGTCGAATTGGATATTCTCTTCCGTGTTCTCGGAAAGCGACTCGAGTCTTATCTCGAGTTGTAATTGGCTGCGACCAATTGGTTTCTGGCGTATCGTCAGGTAGATTATGTCGAAGAAAGGAGATTTCCGGTTGAAAAAGAATGTGACAATACTTTTTCGAGCCGTGTGCGTAACGTGGATGGTTTTCTGGATAGTGTGGCGCGAATGTTGTGATGAAAAAGGTAACCCGATCGAATTGAAAAACCCAACCCTTCTGACCAATGCGCTCAGGTGCAACGCTCATACAGTGCCGTTTGGCTGGATCGTGATCCGAAAGGTAACGAAGAACTTTTTTCAAAATTTGTCCAAAATCCTAAGACAATGCCTATGAACTCAAAGACCTTCATCAAATTGTACAGTACATACTTCAAGTGTGGCTGTTAAATCATTGTGCGGAATTTCGATGACATATCCATCGATTGCTACTTCTTGTACAAATGCACAAAAGAGTATGAAATTTGGTAATAATCTAAACAGAAGAAATTTCTCTCCAATCGGTAATGTTGCCATTGATATTTTACCGTTCGCAATTATCTTCGACTGAAATCGTATCTAACCAATGAGGTGCATTCCAGCATCGAGCTCGCTTAGCAAATATACAATCGGATTTATTTTGGATGCGATGGAATTCATGAAACAAAGATGATTGACTGGAATTGAGATGATGTTCGAATAGCACTTGTTTCGCATGACTAAACAATATACATGACGATGTGATAAACAATCAAATCGAGAACCTACTCAACAACGGTTTTGGAAACTTCCTTATCATTTGTCGTCAAAGTTGTTTTCTCGTTTGATGACTGAGATTTCGAATGACGTTTTTCCAAAAGATAGAGTGTACCTAGAATAAAAGTATCATTATAGAATATGTTCAGTGAAGACTAGTCGTTTTTATTAAAATAGCACATCAAGATTCTGAGAGATTGGACGAAAAATTTAGTTTTTGCATCGTTTGCTTTTTGTCGTTGTCACTTCGACTGTTTTCTTGATCACAGCTGCTGATTTTTGGCCAGTCGGAAGCTCATATCGAACATTTCCATGAAGTTCCAGTTTTTGTTGACAATATTCGATGATATCATCGGGTACATATTCACAGATTAAATCAAAAGCATGCTCTTCATCTTCGACGTGCTTTTTCAATCGATCAACTCGATCACGAAACCATTGGATTAGCTTTTCTTCATTGAGTTTAACCGAATGTTTTTCTGAATCAATATCACAGATCGAAGTGAGTTTCTCCAGAATAAAATCTTCATCCAATTGTAAATTTTTCAAAGAACCGTTCATCAATGTTTTTGTTGAGAGAAATTGTTCTCGAGCATCTGACCAAATTGAAGGTAAAAGAAGAAAGATGACATTTACTGGCGTAACTATGTACAAAGATCCATCAGGTACGACGTGTTGATCATTGATGAACCAACTTGAATGTGAACGTGTACATTGAATAACTTCAAATATCGTTTTTGACTGTTGATCGATCGCGTAGGACTGAGACTGTTTTGTACGAGGATGACTAAGTTGAACGAAGTGTAGTTGTTCACAATTGACTGGTACGAGACGTTTATCAACGATTAGAACACGATTAGGAACAACAGTGGATGATGACATCTGAAAATGAGGAATTATAACGACTTACCAAGTGAAAGAAGAGCAGCTAGGATTGATTTGATATTTATGTGAATGGCGAAAAAGAGAAAAAGAACTATTGACACGAGTCGGAATCCTGAAACCACATGATCGGGTAACGCGAGTTTGTACATATCTGAAATGTGTATCGTACCGTATGTCTCAAGATCTCGATCGACTTTTTCGTTATATGAAAATCAATGACTCAATTCTTCCACATCACAAGAATTCAACCAATAAGGACAATTTCTCTGCTGTCGTGGCGGTTTCACGTTGGAAACTTCGAACGATAGCTCACAGGGAGATGGTTCCGTATGCAGTATCAATTCGATTACATAATTTACCGTTTGACAAAAGGTATTACGCTACGCTATATTAGTATCTCTGTTGTAGAAAATAAATATAGTGCTTTCTATCATTGTTTTCACGTATACTTTATTCGTTGGTAAACTGTACGTGTCAACAAAGGAATGAGTAGATGACAGCAGCTGTCATCAGTATGAAATTAGCACTAGAAAACAAAAAAATTCACAAAACCTTATGTTCACATGTGCAGCGATGAGCGAAGAAGCTCCACGAACGTGGCTTATCGTATATAAATGTCTTGTATTTTTCACACTTGTAATGGGCATAATTGGAGTTGGTGTTGATAGTGGTATAACGATGGTGATAAGTGAAGTTGCAATCATCGGTATTGTCGCCGTTATCATTCACCTGCCGGGTACTATTACATTACTTTTCATTCCATAATGAGTGAAACATCAGGGAAAATCGAAGATGAAGATTTCCTTTGTATCGAGTTTATTTTCTCCACATGAAGCTTGACTTTAGATAAAAGCGATATAACACATTCATGACAACATCACATTTAGTACTTGCTCGTGCTGTACAGGACGAATACCGACATGTAGTTGTTTCGAATAACTATGGGATCACTTCCGAGTTTGATCCGAAATTTGAATTTATTTATGCGAATAGTGCAATTCGCATTTTCGACTTTTTCAAGCCATTTTCTCTTCAAACGTGACTTTATTTTCATTTAATCATCATAAAATCGGTTCTATTGAAGTTGAGATTAATTACAACTGCTTTTGCTGTAGAAGCTTCTCCTAGCTAATTATCTTCTCATCATTTGACATGATAATTGGGTCTGCACGTTATTCTAATGCGTGTTGACTGGTGGCTTTTTTTGCAAAGATGTAGTACTGACGGATCACTGTCTTCACATATGTACGGATCTTTCTGACAAAACTGAATAAAGATGCGCATAGTAGATGCTGAGACTGCCATATGAATTTACTCTGTTTGATAAATGTGATAGAACATGAAAATAACCAGTATTCGTATGTTGGAATATTTTCAGGGAATAGTTTGCATAAGGTAAATATATTGTAGTTATAAAACGAAAGAGTCTATATCTTATGAGTTTGCTTTTTGTTGTTACTATTGAACCAATGCATCATAAATATAGAGACCTATATGATTTGTCACACTACAAAAAAGAGACGGGGTAGAAGTCAGATAGCAGAATGATGTCTTTAAGGGACTGTGTATTAATCCACAGCATGACACTAAAGAACTACACCATTTGACAACAACGTATATACTGCACAATAATCTCGATCAATTACTATTTAGTCTTATGATAATTCGTTAATCTTTATTACAAAAAGTGCACTCACGACTGTAAAACGTGTCTGTCGCCAGGTAGTAGAGTTATTATTTGAATGAGAACCATTGTTGATCTAGTTTCAGTGAGATTCGTTCGTTCCTCATTGGATCTTCTGTAAGTGTAGTTCTGAGAGATCGCGGCAAAGCATGTAACTCAAATTGAAGGCAATGATGCAGTAGTACTGATTGCTTTGCATGCTAGTTTGCAATGAGTTGATTCTTGCAAACGACTGAGAATAAAACTGAAATGATCAGATGTGATTCTATATGTATCTGGATTATGTTAATCCTTTTATGTGTCACAAACTTACTCGACGGTCTAAACATTTGAATGTTTTAGCATTTTATAATGTATGCTGGCTGCTAGCCGATATATGTTAATAGCAACATTCTATACGTTCTATTTCAACAATGAAATATAGTATTACTCGAAAAGAGAAGTAATTGATTAAATCAATAGATCCTGTATAATCGAAAAGAGAATTTCTTTTTGTTAGTCGAGGTCTTCTCATTCTGTCGTTCGTAAAATACTACAATATCGCTGCGACGTAGTTCTGTCTACTGTTGATGATAAATTCGACAGAAATATGTCACGTTGTAAAACAAACAGACGACTACTAACTCATATAAATATTGAAACTATATACTCATACCAATCATATTCGAAACTATGCAGTCAAAAACACGACTGGTATCAATCATCGTTGGTAGCTCTATAGCTATCGCTTTCATACTTTACGTCGTTAGCAATGCCCTTCCTGAATGGTATGTATCTCAGTGGTAATGTGTACTAGTTCAAAAGCATGTGTCATGATTCTGCCTGTTAGGAGCAAAATCTCCGATGGATCTGATACACTGAAATTGGGTCTTTGGCAAGGTTGCTTATCTATTATCGGTGTTACCACATGTTCCGATATTAAATGTCCAGAAGCAGATGATAATACTTCGTTTTGCAGGAAAGTACTAGCCGGTCGAGCTTTCATGACATTAGCCTGTATCCTATCAGGCATTTGTGCTATTTGTTTGATCGTATATGCAGCTGTGGGTGACAAGGTACCTAAAATTGTGCTTATTGCAAGCAAAGTTCTGACATTCGTTACGCTTATTATGGGCATAACTGGTGTTGGAGTTGGTGGCAGTATCTCACAAACACTGAATGAAGCTGTCGAAGGATACTCGTTGGGCGCAAGTGTAATCATTGGTATTATTGCTGTCATTATCAACCTTGGTGGCGCGATTGCATCACTCTTCATTCAGTAATAAAGAGAAAATAAAAAAACACATACACATTTGTACCGAGCCGGTTTTCGAGTCATGAAAACATTTTATGTATTTTATTTAACCTTGAATAAAAGAGAATTGCAAATTATACGTGTGTCTACTTTACTTTCATTCAAGATAGCTCTTTCACTAATATCGATGCTGTTTTATATAATCATATAGTAATTACTCCAATAAAAAGTCATATGATATTAGCGAGTGATTGGATATTATCATATTCGTAGTCTTGTCGCGCATGGGGGTATTTTTAGTAGGTGAAGAATGTTTATAATCAATAATTTTCTATATAATACAGAGGAGCAAACGACGAAGTATAGAGGACAGACGAAAGACGAAAATATACATATGCGTCATTAGTATGAAAATATTTTCCCCTTGAATGATGTCACCAAGAACGAGTTGCACACCTACACCGCATGACGTTCGAAAATTGAATTGATACCTACGAAGTTACATGCGCTGTTCTGCTTAGCACATATTATATATAACCTGTGTCAAGCACTATTCACTATAACCAGAATTTCTTCCGCATCGATCTACATTGTAAGTATACGCTTGGTGTTTATATTATTCTTTGAGATCTATCGAGATTTAAAAGCTGTCTCTGCGTTGATGTATATTTCAAAAAATAAGAAGTGAAGTTTACTGTACCTTTTTCTCATGAAAAAGACTCAAGTCTAAACCTAGCTTTGATAGATTGTCCAAGATATGTTTCTAAAACACAAATGATTGTATATCTGAGATTACCATATTGTGTTTTATAGCAATATCCTTGATTGACATCAGAAAACAATGCAGGCAAGCATTCGACTTGTGTCTATTGTTGTTAGTGTTCTGTACGGTGCATCACTCGTACTCTACGCTGTTAGTAATGGACTTCCAGACTGGTATGTCGTTCTATCCAAGGAACTTAATCAAACTGCCTTGTTTGCATTGCATAGGTTTTGGGCCATTGCCGAAGGTATTACTATAGCAACTGGTCTGTGGCGAACGTGTGTAACTAGTGTTGGTACAACTGTGTGTGGCGACTTTAAATGCGTATCGGGTAGCGATACGGCTGGTGCGTGCGAAAGAGTGATGGCAGGCCGAGCTTTCATGACATTGGCTTGCATCTTATCTGGCATCTGTACTATAGCGTTTTTTATTTTTGGAGCTATGAAGGATCGTCACCATCGTTTATTACTACTGTTCTTCAAGGTTCTCGGTTTCGTCTGTCTTGTCATGGGTAGTATCGGTGTAGGAGTCGGTGGTAGTATTTTACAGGTACTAAATGAAAAGGCGGACGTGTTCAGATTGGGTGCAGCTGCAATCTTAGGTATTATTGCTGTAGCTTTCAATCTTGTTGCTGCTGTTGCAGCATTATTTGCTAAAGCCTCGCCGACAGGAATACAATACGAACAATCGTAATATACAATGCAACATTTGTCGCGTGTTAATATATGATATTCTGTCCGTTTTCTATTTTTGCATATTTTGTATAAAAAAAAAAGTAATGACATGGATGAAAACTTCTATTCTAAGCAGCTGTTATCATCGATGGACTTTTCGATGAAATCCTCAGGGAGATGAAATCACGTTGACAAACAAAGTAATGAGAAGGCAAGTTTCACGCACACTACGCAATTACAGGATGGTTATTTCTTGTGTGTGTCATCGATGCGACTTGCGCAATTCAACTTTCGTAATACCTTTTGACACATTTTCTTGAATAAAGGCTCATGAATTAGACATTGCGAGGTAATATCGATCGTGAATGAATTATTGAAAGCCATGCCATGGCAGCCGGTGTATAAGAACAAGAAAGTATGTAAAAATGAACGTACAATAGTCCTCCTGTTGGGCGGATCAATTTATGACGATGGAGCCGATGTGTCCATCACTAATCGACGTCGGCGAGGAGATGAACGTTTCCGTACTAAACAGGATGTTCATTTAGACGAACATTTATGGCAACGGGATTTTCGCGCTATCGCGGAATATTTCGAACGAATTCATGCGACTGTTTGGCGTTCCATACCAACTAGTCTTCGCAGTTCTCGACATGAAGCATTTCAGTTAATTACTGAATTTTTTCAACTTGACAACAATGAGAATGCTTACGAACGACGAACATTTGTTCTTTATTGGGGTGGTCATGGTTTACACAATTCAGGAGATTGGGGATTTTCGGTTGGTGGCGACATAACATGTCAAGATATCATTAATGCTTGGCGTTCTCGTCCAGTAGCTGATAATTACAACGACATGTCATCATTAACCATCATAGCTGATACATGCTATTCGGGTGCTTGGATTGAACAACTCCGAACAGCAAACATACCTCGACTTGCTTATCAAGCCGCTAGTCAAGCAGACGAGCCAGCATATGCTGTTAATGACGGTAATGTTCCCAGAAGTCTACTTATGCGCAAATTTATCATTGAACAAAAATATCCCATTGAATGGTATATATGGACATGTCGTGATCAACATCCGGTATACTTTTGTAACTATGCAGAAACAGAAGATGGTGAAGATCTAAGTGCTGGTCAACAACGTGCATTAGTGCATGGTGGTCCATTCTATTTCTTTACTGTTGATTATCATTGGACATCCAATAGTAAGATGTCAACGAAAGAACGTAAAGTACATCTAGGTAAACTATCGAAATATGGCGTATTCATTGATAATCATTGAAATGTAATATAAAGCGAAATACCGTAATTTGAGTTTAAATAAAATCTTATCAATTGATCTTTTCTTCATTCGTTCTCATCATCCAAACGAGTAAGCGCAGATTCATTCAAGGCAACGAGCGATGAGGGCGAAGCCTTACTTATTCGTTTTATTCTACTTTTTATTGACTTTTACCAATGGAAAACCAGTGAAAAGTAAAGGAAAAAAAGCAATAGAAAAATCACCAGCGAAAGCACCAAAAGTGAAAACAAATACTGATGCATTGAAATATCTTGATAAATTTGGTTACAATGCATGCGGTGGACATGGAAATGGAAAGAGTGTCGTCGGTGGAGGGCCCCTCTGTCAATCAAGTTTCCAAACCATGATCGAACATTTTCAAACGGTCTTTCGCTTACCCGTAACCGGCAAACTCGATGAAGCAACGATTAATTTAATGAATAGACCGCGATGTAGTTTGGGTGATTATCCAATGGGATATACTGTTTTTCGGCCATGGTGACCGCCCTGCTGTAGATTGAATGAATTTGTATATATTAGATGTTTTTTAGGCCTAATACAACACTAAAATGGAGGCTAGATGGCAACACACCAAAATTCAGTAAAGACAGTATTCGTTCCCATGTGCAGGAAGCGTTTGATGACTGGGCACGCTATGCTCCGTTAAAGTTTCGTGAAGTTCAAGGTGATGAAAAACCGAATTTCTTGATAAGCTTTGAAACTGGCGAACATAAAGATGGTTTTCCATTCGATGGTGCCGGTGGTACACTCGCACATGCTTTCTTTCCCACAGATGGAAAAGTTCATTTCGATTCTACTGAAGAGTGGACAGATAAGTATGTATTTATCAATTTATAGTACGAAATACATTTGATTGCCGTCGTAGATACGATGGATTCGGTTACAATTTTCGTTTGGTAGCTTCGCACGAAATAGGGCATGCACTGGGCTTGGCACATTCGACAGATCCTAAGTCATTGATGTATCCATTTTATCAATTAATCCAACCGCAAGATCTACTTCCAAAAGATGTAACTGAATCCCTTAGGTATCGATTTCTTTACTGATTGACACTTTCATTCTAGGATAGAGATGGTATTCGTGCCTTGTATGGAACAAGTGAAACAAATAAACCCACAACATTTGCTGCGACAACGGCTGCGACACAAACGACAAAGAAAACAACTACAAAGAAAACCACAAAATCTAAGACAACAAAGAAAACGACGACCACGAAAAAGCCAACAGCCACACAATCACCAGTATTGGCACATGATCGATGTGCTCGTTATCTTGATGTTGTCTTCGGCGGTGGCCCAGATAAATGGCTATATACACTCGATTACGACCTTGTCTGGCGTTATCACCCAGATTTCGGTCAATGGGATACTCGAGGTCTTCCAATCACGGAAGTTTTTCCTGGTGCTGAACCACATATGATGGCAGGCATTCTATCACCAAAAACACAAAAAATCTACTTGTTTAAAGGTTACCGTGTCTGGCGATTTTCGTCTCCGTCATCACTTGATCAAGGCTTTCCTAAACGTATTTTTGGCACCGGCACACCGTATGTATTTCGAATTATTCTTCAAGAGATACACGTGAATATCGTGTCTCATTAGATATAACCCTATTGCTGCTCTGTATGAAAAAGGACATATATGGCTTTTAAAAGGTGGTATTCTTTACAAATTCGACGAAAACGATCTTCAATACGAATTTCATCGACCACCCAAACGTATTGACGAACAATTTCCTGGTGTTCCGAAAAATGTTCGCGCAGCGTTCACACACGATGGAAAGCACTATTTCTTTACTGAACCTGACCGTAATGTCTACGTATTTGATATCAGAAGCCGACGTGTCGAACCTGGCTACCCCAAACCGATGACAACAGGATGGTTTGCTTGCAATGGCGAACGCGGCAGAGGGCGCTAATAGATCGACTTAAAAATATCTTCCATCTTAATCCTTTACTTTTCTTCTTATTGCAATTGAATTAAACTACATTTGAAATGCTATTTGCAAGAAAAACAGCGGAAACCTTTTTCTCTCCTTTTCACTTCTCTTTTCTTCATTAACGACGGTTGCTATGAGCTAGAGTAACGTTGATGTCGTTAAGCACTTAATGAAATAAATAGAAAAATGCATATCGACAATATGGATTTTCAAGAGTTCTAATCAAGCTGTATGAACGGACAAGAGTTCAGCATGTCTCGAATTTGAACCGAAGGTTATATATATACACATATGAAATAACTTCTTCTTTTCCTTGTTTACAGAATAAATAAAACAGAAGGAGTTTCGAGAGAAAAGAAATAACATTCATGGCATTGTGTCGTTAAACATCATCAGTTAAAAGACGAAAGACAACTTTTTCAATTGCTTCCATTTCAATTTTCTTCGATGGCCTTAACATCGTCACTCCACACGATGACCAAAAACTCTGCTTCTTCTGCTGCAAATCCATACATTCTTCCTAAACATGATCTCACTATGGCTGATAGTCAACTAATTGATATACTTCTTCATGGACAAAACAATGAGAATAAATTTCAAGTTGTTAATCATTGGTGTAAAAATACTCGACGAAATCGTCTGGCAAATATTCTCGACGTCTCTCAAAGATACGATGTTTTAATCGCGCTGATAACTTCACTTCAACAAACAACAAACAGCGAATATCAATATAATTGTCTAACACTCCTCTCCGAACTTCAAACAACTATTCATCATTACGATCAACGAACTTATCTTCCTGGTAAGTAAACGCATGCGTCAAAATCGAAACGAATCAGTTTGATTTCAGTGATTATACAATGCTTCTCTTCCACGTCCCATGACGTTCAAACTTTGGCATCTCAATTACTTGTAAAACAGTTTCATTCAACAGATGACACACAAACATTTCTACATATCTACATCAAAGATGGCTTGAAATCTCCAAATATTCGAATCTGTATCAAGTCCATCGAAGCATTAAACGATCTATTTACAAAATGTCACCAATGTGAAAATCTCTCGCCGATATTCGAATTACTTCTTCAATGTTTGCAAGATAATCTTTTCCGTTCAAATTATAACACCATACTGATTCGAGCTATTCAACATATCAAACGCATATCAACACCGGACTTATTCAACACCTATCTCGAGTCGTATTCGCCTTCGTTAAGACGACTTTATTACACATATGTACCTCAACAAATGGACAATGATCTCGAAGATGATGAAGCCACTCCCAGAGCGCCCGTTCAACTGAATGATTTGGTTTATTCTCAAACAGGTAAACTGTTCTTTTGATTGAAATAATCTAATAAATGTTTACATAAACGAAGGTAAGCCTTAAATACTATTATTCTAATGAAGAAACTATTTGCATGGGAGTATGCAGAGAACAATCAGTTTCTTTTTTGGAATATGTTGATCTAAGTATTTCAAAAAACACGTCAATGTTTTGTCTACAATTAATTGAATAACAATTCCCTTGTGTGATCTGAAAGTTTCGTTCGAGATTTTCTCTTGAAGAAAATTTTCTCTCAACACACACTGACCGTACTAGACGAACATAAAAAAAGCGATTTTTTGCACTAAAATCAACCAAACAGGTAGCGTTTGTTGTTGACTAACGATTTCTTAAGCGATTTTTCGACTCGCAGGCATGTCAACAACAGATTTCTCTCATTCTCCTACTCATGTACAAGCGTGATGCATCAGGCAAACAGTCGATAAGAAAACTAATATCAGCAGTTTTCTATCAATGTGATTTTCAGAAATGTAAAACACATGTTGAGCAAACTTTGCGTATTGACCGAAAGAAATCTGATGCATACTGAAAAAATATGCAAAAGACCTGATTACAAAGTATATTGTATTACTTGCAATCATGCAACAAAAGTTTTCCCCAATCGGATTTGATGATCTTATCACGTCTCAGAGAGATTTTTTTTATTGATTTTATAGAAATGAATGGCTACCGGCCCAGCGGTGGAAATCCTTATTCGAACAACCTCTTCGCAACTCAACGATCGATCCTTTCTTCCCAAAGCGACAATTCTGAAATGCATTCACTCATCGAAACTATGCGTGCAAAATGGATGACATCAAACGATACAAATCGTTTAAACTACCTCGATCGTCTGATTGTTCTATCGGATAAAGCCTTTCAAATCTTTCGTTCTCAACATCCACCATCGTCGACATTCGACGCGCAATTTCACCAAGCATTGAATGCACTCCTATCACCTATACTCGAGATTTTATCGTATATAATGTCGGCTAATATTGAACTATCAGTTAAAATCAAACTTGTTCTATCAACATCGTTAGCATGGGTTATTAAACATGGACAGGGTAATTTTTGTAAGAAGAATTATAAATCCATATGTACGACATTTAAAAACGTTCTTCTCAATGGCCAATCGAACAATCGACAATTGGCGGTATGTTATCTCATCCTTCGTTTCTTTTTCTCAAATCCTTCCTGCCTTCAACATAGAAATTCAGCGTGAGTCTCATACTCTTACTCGAAAATTTCGTTCATCCTCAAATCATTCTCAATGAACTAATCGACGAGCAATTTCAATATTACAGTTACCGCATACAGTTAGAACTTCTCGCTATTGTTACAGCAACACTGATCAAGCATCGTCAACATCACTATGACAATATATCGAACATCTACAAACATTTACTCCCCATGTTGGTGTCGAACCGACGAGAACTTCGGCATGGTGCCATGGAATGCTTTACAGTGATATGTACATATTTCAATGCCTACAAACCATTGACATCAACCATGATTGAAACGAATCAATCAATTAAATTAGTTCTATCGTTGATCGATAAGTTGTCATACGATGCATCGAATGCTTTACGCTTTCGTCTACAACGTAACCTATTTCCATCGCTAACCGACGAAGGTAATATAACCCCTGGTCTAGTATGCGATTCAAGCACAATGAATGATCCCGATGCGAAGTTTATTGCACTTGCGAACAGTAATAATACAGTACGAACACCTCAGACAGCAAGTAGTCATGAGAGTTCATCTGCCAAAATGTCACCAACTAGCAGCAAACTGCTTCAATTAGCTATGCCATTTGTTACGAAGAAGACGAACACGCAAGAACTGGTAAGATTTTCTTGACAATGACAGAAATTAATATTGTCTGATATATTCAAACGAGGATGTCGGAGTTCCTATTTGAACTTGTTTCTGCGCTAAGAAAGCTTAGTGCACCTGGGCAAGCGTTTCATTTTATAAAAGCACATTGTTTGTTGCGTCGTTTCAAAAGTTCTCGTCAAGATTTTATCATGTGTTCGACAAAAATGTCTTATCTCAAGTGTAAAAGATCATATGTCAATATTCGAAATTTTCTCTTTCGCTGTACATTTACTTTTAATGAGTGTCTAGGAATCAGCTGCTAGACCGCTACAAGCATATGCTGATGAAATCCTATTCTTATGAAAATTCTTACAAACAACGAATTCTGTTATTCTACCAGAGAAGAAAGTAAACGCGTACTCAGTACGAACTTCTTCAGTTAACGATGACTGAGTCAATCAAAGTAATTGCAACCTTTGCTCGTGATAAAAACGAATTTGTTTACCGTCATAGACTAGAATTAAGCTGTAAATATACAGGTTATCTTTGTTTTAGTGTGGATGCATGCTCTTAAAAGGTTTTTATAGGTTTTCTGCATTTATTCAGCGAGTAGATGAGAAGAGAGGAAAAAAAACATTGTTACACAGAATTATACATACGTCTTCTATGGACGTTACCGGCGAAATTTGATATTCGTCGTGTTTTTCTCCTTTCTTTCATAATCGTATTGTTTTGTGGTTGAGTTTTGAATCAATAGTAGATGACGTAGATACTTACGAATTCTAAAAGATTTCGTTAGTTTTCTCGAGAATAATAAATCCGATTATGATATTAAAAGTTTATTCAAATCGAAACCCATTCGAGTTAAATATTCATGAAACTTGCTTCTTAATGAACAATCCATACAGTACAATCTATGTAACGCAGTTCATAAGCCTTCTACGAGCGACTTGTCAAACTAACTATGATAATCTGTCATCTGTCTTCGCCTCATTCGCCTGAAGATTTTGACAGGCAACTTATTTCTTTCATTTTGTTTCTTTGACAGGTAATGCGTAGTCGGGAAATACCGCCATTGAAACCATCCAACGCTGAATATGATTCTCATCGGTATGCCAATAATAACAATCAACATTACGAAGCATCGATCACTCGTAAGTAGTTCAATCTATTTCTTGCAACAATTCAAAAAGTGACTGAAGAAAACGTTGAAGACATCTCGGTAGTGTAGGAATAAGAAACAACAATACAAAAGTTTTTTCTTTCTTTCTTTCTTTCTTCTTCTTGTCTAGCTAGCCAAACATGTACTACAATAAGTCTTTTTTGAAACATACAAACAAATATCTCTGGTGATTGATTTTTATTTTTCTCTTTCGCTTTCTCTTATCAACAATAACAAAGTTTATTGAAAAAGAAACAAAAAAATTCCTTTTTCTCCGGTTTGAATCAATAGATTTTCGCGTTTATTAAACTTCTCTTTTCCTTCGATTATTTGGAAAACGATACGAATCATCTTAATCGCATATGAAATTAGTAGATTACTATCTTTTAGCGATAAAAGTAAATGGTGAACGTAGAGATACTAGTGCTAACCATACACATACAGGCAAAGTAGTGTCAAATGATCGGACGAACACTTTATTGACTACAAATGCAAATCGAAAAGAAATGATTACAGTTCATCGTCAAGGTTTGTGTTAATTTCCATTAACATCATTGTGACGTATTTTTCTTGAGATTAAGATAAATATTTCTTTTGTGACTGATCGTTCAAAGTGTGATTTGCTTGCATATTTAGAAACTATTCATAACAACAGTACACTACAATTTCGTCCGGTGATACCTCATCGTCTGTCGGGTAACCGAATGCCAACATCGCACAATCTTCTTGTAGCCTCACAAGTGCACAATCATTACGAAGAAAAGTATCTGACACGCCAACTCGATTCCGATCTCGACCGTGATGAAGGTATCGATAGTACCATTGGATCACGATCGTTATCGATCAATACCGTCGATGAGAACCAACATGAGGTAAAAAAAACAGTTCTGCCATAGGTTTCTTTACAAGAGACGAAAATTTAGAATGTTCAGTCCACGCCGAAAAAGCCGGTTCGATCTGTTCACAGTAGTTCCACGCGAAGAAAAGTAACTCGTCTATTCAGTACCAATAGTGATGTCGAATCACCCTCAACACACACACTAACACCAGAAACGAGCAATGAGAGTGGAGTGTACTCACAATCTGGACGCGACACTGATTATGATACAAATAGTGCAACAAGGTAGGATCGAGCAGAAGCGGAATTACAACTTTGTTTTTCCGGGGTTGTGTATAGATCATTGAGCAAAGATCAGTTATTTTCCACGAAGCCACGCCTTGCACGTTCTGGTTCGAAATCTCTTATTGACAGGTCGCAAGGACCGTTGACAAAACAATTATCAGGACAAAATCATGACCATCAACATTCAAACGAGAAGACCATACAACGTGGAAATAATCGATATGTTGAAGTTGTTGGACGTGGTTATAGCGATGAAAAAACGTCATCGAGACGTTTGTCAAACGACAGTATAGAAGATAAGCAACATGTGTCCGGAGCAAAATCTCGAGCAAAAATTATCAAAGGTAAATAGACAAGTTATTTCTTATGTGCCCTTGAAAAGCTTATATTTTGATAAACACAAAAGTATATGTACTCAATTGCTCATAATTCGTATCTTTATCTGCAGGCTCTGTCGTCAACAGTTCCTCAAATGCAAATATGAATATGGAGGATGGATCTCACGCCGAAGACGCCCATGATATAGGAGTGATCGGAAAAGGTACATAGAGATAACATTTGGAAAGCAGTTGGCTTGATCTCTTTGTATTTGTTCTAGCGGTACATATTCCATTACGTACAAAAACGGACACCGATATACTCCGAGTACAGAATAATAATATTATGAATAATTACATGAATGAACAGAGTGATCAGATCGATACAATGTCCGATGAGTTCGACAGTGATTCAAAAGAGAATGAAAATGTATGTGAGATTTTTCGTTTTCTGCTTGCATAATATCTCTTCAATAGATTGCGGACATGGGTCAATCATTGTCAGCATCGTTTCGTTTACGTGTTCAACAGAAAACTCAAGAAAAAATCGAGCAAAAGGCCCGTCGCCGACAAGCTCGTGAAAATCGTTCTCACGAAGACCAACTCAATGATCACGATGACCACGATATACCTATGTCATCCAATTCTACCAGTCGATATTCATCTCAACCTGATCTAACTGCAATTCTCAATGATATCCCAGTCAGTAATCGACGTCAAATTGATTCAAACATCACTTCTGTTTTACCCAATTTTCCATCTCAACAACGTTCGCGTGTTTTGAAAAATTCGTAAGAAAGTCTGAGTATGTTTTCTAAGCGTTTGCTATCGTGTGTTCTCTCATTTTAGTATGGCTCGTTCTCAAACATTCAACAATCGACGTGATATTTCCATGAACGAACAACGCTTTACTCTGAACCGCCCATTGTCCGAAGATCGATCTGTTGAACAAATAAAAAATCCTACAAGTACCTATCGAGAAGCGATGGAGTCAGTAGCCAATGACGATTGGGAACAAAAATGTGCTGGTCTCACACTACTTCAATTACTTCTTGCACAGCATCCTGACACAGTGACACAGAATCTACATCAAGTTGTTCTAGCTCTCATTCAAGAAGTCATTTTCTATTCATATGAAATTTTCTCACCAACTAATTGAATTTGTTTTGCTTTTCTAGGTGAAAAATCTTCGATCACAAGTTGCTCGTTTTGCCTTATCAACGTTTTGTGATATGTTCAAGTATTTGAAACGTAACATGGACATCGAACTTGACCTAGCTGTCAAAGCCTTAATACAAAAGAGTGCCGAGTGCAACGAATTCTTCCGATTAGATACTGAAAAGTGCCTTCGAACAATGGTGGATAATGTTACACTACAAAAAGCCTTACAAGCACTGATCGCCGCTGGTGCAACGTAAGTGTTCGGATTGAACTTTATCGAAACAGCTTGCACGCGAAATACTGTTGATTTTAGACATCGAAATCCAGCTGCAAGGAAAGCGTCAGCGAAATACATCTATTACGTTTGTGAAAAATTGGGTCCAACTAAAATTCTAAGTGGTACACGAGATATTACAGAACGTGTCTTACAAGTTGGCGCGACATTTGCAGCAGATGGACCGCCAGAGATCAGGCAAGTTGAAATCACTTCAATTTTTCGCTCAATTTTCAATTTAAACTCTAGATGGTACGGCAAGAAGATCTATCATATGTTAATGGCTTTCGAAACATTGGACGCATTGATGAAACAATATCTCACGCCAAGTGTCTATACAAACATGTGTGAAATTCTTGATAATATTCGAGTTAAGGTAAAGGAAGTGCCAGATTCCATTGAATGCTTTTCTATGTCGTTCGTAATTGGATAGGGAGGTATTGGTGAAACACCAGGTGAATCGGCAAGGAACAACGCTCGCCGCGCCCTATCGAACGACAAACTAAATTCCAACCCGTAAATATGATTCTGTTTTGAAAGATGATACATCTGATTTCGAGAAATTGATTTTTATAGGAGTTTTACCAGTCAGCTATCTGTAACACGTAAAGCGAATACAGCTGATCAAGCCGAGCAGGTTCGTGAATTAACGAAGCAAATGCGAAGTTCAGATTTTCGCGAACGTCTCAATGGCATTGAAGAATTCCAAAAATTATGCGAACTCGAAACCGAAACAGCAATTCAGTCTCTTGTACAAATCTTCGATGGATTTAATGAATGTCTGGCCGATATGAATTCCAAAGTTGTACTCAAAGCATTGAACACGATGCATCAACTCGTGCCGATCCTAAGTGATGCTTTGGCCAATGTCATCAACTCCACTCTACCGATCATTGCGCAGAACATCGCATCGAAAAATCGAGACATCTCACAGTGTGCATCGGATATCATTGACACTGCTATCGAATACATTGGTAAGTGAATACGAACGGAGAAAAAGTTTCTGATAAATATTTTCATAGATTGCGGAGTATTAGTTCAACCATTGTGTACATTATGTCAAAATAGCAATCTTCGTATTCGACCTGAACTTATTTTAAAATTAGCTGGTAAGTGGAAATATCTTATTTAATCGATTTGGTTATTTTCACAAACAAATTTGCTTTTATCATTTCATAGCTCTCGTGCCTCAATTATGTCAACGTAAACCCAAACAAGTCGAAATTCATCTATTGCCAACTTACTGGAAATTATTATCTCTACTTCGTGGTCAAAATTCGACGACAATCACATCGTCAGCTGGCGGTGCGAACAATCTGAACTCGTCCGTACATGTTATAACAACCGCTCTCTACACTGAACTTGGCACTACTTTGATTGACCGAGCTAGCTCAAGTTCATCAGTAACACCGAAAAATCTCCAGTTACTTCGTGAACTGTGCTCCAGCATCGACGCTGTGTAGTTTCTTTTGCTAAAACTTTGTTTTTCAGTTGTGATTTTACACCTACATATTATCGCCTAGACTTTCTTTATTTCTCGCATGTGTACTGATTTATTTATATGCACACAGCTCAAGCAATTATCTCTTTTTCTTCGTTTTATATAAGGACAAATCAACTCTATTTCAACCTATTAACGTTTCTTTATTTGCTGTGATGATTGTTATTCATTTCTTTTCTTCTCTGTTCTTCCGTGCACGTTCTTATTCTAAATTTTGTATAAAAATATATTGAACAAGAATAATTCATTCTATGGTTAAAATCGGACGAGCTTCTCTCATTCGGTCTTGTCAGACCGGATGATTTTTCACATAGAACTGGCAAACATCCCGCTTCATACGGTCCGATTTCAACTTTGAGACATTTTATCGTTTTGTTCAATCATAATTACTAATACTAAATATCCTCAATATGAATAAAATCAAGCAACTAAATTTCTTTACCTTGCCGATACGTGTAGAAATATGTTAATTATGTATTAAAAACATGCAAAGATAATTGGAAAAACGGAGTAAATGCTATCGTTAAACAGCAGTTTATTGTAAATGCACTTTTTAAGTGATTTACACGGTTGATTAAGTGTTGCTCCCGGCATGACATATGAGACATCATAATTGATCATGGATACCGTGGCGGTTGGATCTGGTAATAAATTTTCATTTGTTCTCTTAGGTAAATCGTTTGATTCAATTTTACTAGTACCTTTAATCAAAGGTAGCTGAAAATTTAGAGTCATACAAAAAAACTTCCACACATGGCAATATTTGAAGTATTTATACCTGAAAAATAATGTATGATATGTGCGTAAGTATATCAAGAGAAGCTGGCGTCATAATCAATTAAATATTTTCTCATTTTTCAATCTGTTAAAGACTCTTGGAAGTACTATGACGAAAAGTTGATTCAAAGAAATGTTAGTCTTGGGTGACCTTTAGAGATGATTAGGAAGGATGGGGTTGGATTTCGATTGATTAATGACAGGAATAGAATCACAAAATTCTTTCATAGAGCGTTTAGTTCAATTCGAATTCGATGTTTTGATGAATATTTTCAAGCGACGACTAAAGACATCTTTGAGAAATTTAATTCAAATTGTTTAAATTATCAAGATTTGAAACATTTATCACATGAATTGGACCGCATGGATTTAATTATTTTAATGAAATTGGACAATTAATGATTGAAGTATTTGATGGAAAACGAACGAGTTTTTCTTTTATTAGTGTTTATCTGTTACCCAGATCAACAAATTGGATCGGATCCGAGTATGGAATTACCCGACCTGAGTACAATTATTGAAGATGTATTAGCATCAAATGATGGAACTGCAGGTACTTCTATATATATTTTATCACCATTAGCTATGCATTCTGATGTTCAAAGTAAGGCTCGACAACATATTCTCAATTTATAAGCTAATTCGATTCTTCTTTGAAATCTTTGGAGAATGTTAATTATTCAGATCAAATTCTAGGTGAACGTCAAGGTTTATTTTCTATTTTTATCTTTACTGTTCCTGAGTTTTCACGTCCAGAAATGATAATTAATGAAACTGGTGTTCCAAAAATATAGTGGCTGTGGCAGATAATATGTCTTTAAATAGAAATAAGAATATCTGAAAAATCGATGCTCTAGAATTTCGTTCTGAACGTTTTCATCTACCTGTATAAACTTCAACGATTAAATTTTATCGTGGATTTGGAAGTGGACATTTTAGACGATGTCTTGGACAACATTTTATCAAAAAATTACATTGATTATTTCTTTCTGATCTTCTTACTCAAAAATGATTCAATTTTTTGATCGAATGACGAATGTCAACAATATCCAAAGATTTAGTTTACCTTTTATTTATATTCTTGGTGATTTTGGTATACTTGTGTAGTTATAAAATTTACGAGGTTCATATACAGTCGAGAATATCTATTTTTCTAATATAATTCGATAAAAAAAAACTAGAAAGGAAGAAAATGTGATGAGTAAGTGTATTTGTATAAAAGTGAATGATGCAATACTTGATAGGAAAATAAAAATGAGAAAGAAAAAAAACCGTGATCGAATGTTATCAATTGATGTGTGCAGGAATTCGATAAATTACTGAAACGAAAGAATCCCAAAAATTAAAATTTCATTATTTATTTGATCGTTTCGGTAAGATGGGCAATGACACATGTTTTATTCAAGTTGAAAATCTACTATTTCGTTTAACCGATATTCCAGTCGCTTCAGCACCTTCTCTATCAACCCAGACAGATATGACTTTTGAGAAACCGCGTAAATACGATGTTTTATTGGTAGGATACCGTAGAAGTATCGCTTTCATTTTCGTTAGAATTTTATGCGTATTTCATCGTATTTTCTAAAAATTTGTCTACCCAGGGATTCGAAAATCACATAAATGTCCTGTTTCACCGATTCCATCACCGTCTGTGCAGTGCCTCAAGGACTTGGTCCCAATCAAGAAAATCTAAATAAATATTATACTTATACACCAAACAAAATTTATTATCATAGAAAATAGATTAAAAACAAAAAGTAATGTGCTGTTTCATTTGTTAATTTACAGTGTTCATAATTGAAAAATGAACATTTTGTTTTAAAATTCAATATTCTCAATGATTATCTCTATAAGATAATGATGCTGTATGATATCCTGAAATTGATCCAGCTATTGTTCCAGCGGATCCGCCACCGATTGCTCTTAAACCTGTACTAAGTGCCATAACTGTTGTAGCACCAAAACAACCTCCTGCCATTCCTCCAGCCAAAGCGCCAACAATTCCACCTGCTAACTGACCAGCAGCTTTATCATCTGTAATAAATTTTGCAAAACCACCGGATACACCACCAACAGCACCACCAATAACAGCACCAATTGCTAATGGATTTGAATACATTGTTCCTTTAAGACGAGACAAATTGGAAAATAAGTCAAATGCTTTCTCTTTCTATCTTTTATAGTATCGTTATTAGTTATCATCAATTGGGTTTATTCCCTAAGAGCATTCTTTCACGAATAATTTTTGGATTGAATTCCCATTGTACAGTTTAAAAAAAGGCAGCACGTTTCAAGTTAATCTTATCATCTAATAGACAATTTCCCTTATTTTTTTCTCAAAAAATGAGAATTATGTTGTTTATAATTTGTATATAAATGGATTAGATCAAATAATATATTCACTCTGTGAATTAAATCTTTATTTGAAAAAAAAGATACATGAATCCATTGCAATTTGCAGCAGCAATTGGCGGTGTAATTGGTGGATCTGTTGGTGGAGTAATTGGTTGGATAACAGTCGTTAAAGAAATTAACAAAGAACTAGGACAAGGAACAGGTGGATTTACTGGTGGAACTGCTGGAGCCATTGGAGGATATTTTGCAGGCCATGCGGTTATGTCTAATCGTTTAGGAGCAATAGCAGGTATTACTGCTGGAATAGTAGCTGGTTGTGCTGCTGGATATACAGTTGCAGGAAAGGTTTATGATGGAATTAAACCAAAATAAACTGAAATTTTTGTTAAATAATAACGTCTTTCATAGGCTATCTTGTGTATGACGTTATGTAATCATGCGCTAATCTAGATCTGATATTCTATTACGTGTCGTCATATGTTTTCCCTGTGGCGTGTTACGTTTTAGAAAATATTTTTTCAACTTCATATAAACTTCATATTTATAAAAAATACTGATATAGTCGCCTTCTATCAATGTTAACCTAATACGCGAACGTCTTCCAGAAGATTTTCTTTTTACGAAGCGTGTCCGCGTAAAATGATACTTCGCTGATTAGTTCTTGAAATTTTTTGCGGCAAAAGCATATATAAAGTGTCTTATATACAGCTTTCAATACCGATTACGTATTCGACATTCATTTTGCTAGAAGCTGAACTTCTCTTTAAGAAAATACTTTTTAAACTTGTTGAAAAAGGTATTTTAGATAGTCTCAGCAGAAAATTTCTTCAAAATGTGTTGTTTTACATACCACCTGATGCAGAATTTCACTCTCTACAAATTCGCATATTTGATTTTATGTTCTAAAATCAAAGTCAATTCGTGAACTCAGTTGAAGTCCTCGGCTTGTTGTTTAAAACATAGACTTCTACATGAATGTATCGATCCCATTCTCATATGGAAATCTGCACAATTTTTGACATCGATATTAATTCATATCAATTCAGATAAACTTTTCCATAGTTCATCTCAGCATTGACAGAATCATGCTCTGTATCGAGTATCTATTTGGATAATAGTAAAAAAAGGATTCAATATATATATATATCAAAGAATAGATAGTCATCATCGATATGAAGCTTACACAACGGAGCTAGCACTATAGAACAGTGATTAAGTTAAAAACGTTTTTACTAAATAAGCTCCGCCCATATAAACTAGTTCATTCGATTCAGAATTGAGCTCTGCATCGAATGATGATATTTTTATGCACGGGACAAGTTTTAGGAAAGTTTCTACCTACATCTATGTTTTCCTCCTATAGATCTGATACAGGCGTGTACATCCATATCCTTCACTCCATCTGTTTCATTTATCATCGTGATAGATTCTTTTGTTCGATTTCCGCATCAACAAATTGAATTTCGTCTCTCGAGCGAAGGCAACGCTAATAAGATCTATTTATAATCCAAATGTAATTTTTGCTAAGTTTGCCCCCTAAATAAAAGTATCATCATTCGATGCAGAATGAAATTCTGAGCCGAGTAGACTGGTTGTTATGGACAAGGCTCATTTAGTAAGAAAGTTTTCAATTAAAGTTTTGTTTCATTGTACTAACTTCAAATCGACATTTTTCTCATCTCATACCGATCCGAACACACGGACACGACTGGCTATGAGGTAAAATACAACATTTTTTCTTTGTTCATGTTTGCCTGAGTTCAAATGAAACGCGATTGAAGAATGTACCTTGAAAATTAGGATTCGTATGAGAAGCTTGAAGAAATGACGATAGTAATTTTTGATCTGTCTCAAAATGTAAATATAATCGATTCATTTCACACCAAAGACTTTCAGGTTTTTCCGATAAATTCTCGTTTAGCTCGAAATCAGTATTAGATTGGATATTAAGTAAATTAATTGAACGAATTAAAAGTATATGGAAGAGAAAACATTTGTACAAGAACATAGACATGTTCGAAACCTAATCAAGTGATTCAATAACTAATAAAATCATTTGAGAACAGTTAGATTTTAACACCATTCGTCTTTGAATGCTTTTTCATGTGGGAAGTAACGTAAAGCAAATCGTTTGTAAAGGCTACAAAATTTTAATAGCATACAATCAATTCTTTGATTGAGGTTAAGAAAAAAACTAAATAACATTGACCATAAATAATTTATCCCAGATACGCAGAAAAAGTTCATTAGACATGTCTTCGAATTTCATTTCTATCAGACCGATATGATACGAATCGAACAGTGAATACAATTTATGATACTTATTCACCAATGAACTTAGAGATGTCTATGGGTAAAATAAAACGCACACTATGTAAGAGATGGGTGCAGTCTGCTCCGGTCTATTTTTGACGACAAAATCGATAAACGTCCGGATTTCATCCTCGTCCATTTGCGTTTTATTCGAGTTATGGCTTCATTCATTGACAAGCAAAGAGTAAAACACATCAATAAAGTCATATGTGAGATTCAGTTGCACACATCTCGATTCCTGATAAGAATTTATTTTAATTTTGTCAATGCATCTGTATATAAATCAAATAGACAATGAACCGAACTGGAACGTTTGGCAATTGTAGCCGCGGTTTCATTTAGTTTATTTTCAATATTTACATTTATGAATGGATGCATAAGAAGCAGTTGAATGACTTCTCGATTGCTTCGTTGCGATGCAGCTAAATGTAATGCTGTTTGTCCACCATTTGTCTGACTATTTATATCGATACCATTTTGTAATAATAGAGAAGCTATTTCATAATTATTCCAAAAGGCGGCACAGTGCAATGCGGTCCATTTATCGTCCGTAACTGCGTGGATATCTGCACCTGATTCAAGTAGATATTCACAGATTTTCAACTGATTTCCGTTCGCTGAGCGGTGCAATGCGGTGTAACCATCCGAATCTCGTGCATTGAGTAATGATCGGTCACGAGTGATGTATTGTTGAACACGCGCGAGATCACCATCTTCAACGGCGGTCAGTAAACCTTTGACAGGATCACGACGAATGTCTTTTTTTGTCCAGTGTTCGACGTCATTTTCATCTTTCTCCCAATAACTTTGCCATTTGGATGGCTCGCCATTTTTCTTCTCGATAATTTCATCAAAAACCGTGGTGCTTAACTTGTTTATATACTCCAATCGTTCGCCATCGTCCATACCTAGAATAAACATAGATTTTATCAAAAACAAATTGATCAATAAAACAGGTTTTGGTACATACCTTCCATTTCCTTTTGTAGTTGATTTTCCGCATCTTGCCGCTGTTGATCATTAGACATCTTGAAAAATGTAAACAAATCAATACAAAGGCGCGTAGCGCATAAAAGCTCAAATACCAAAATTCGACTTTATGTCATGTTGGACCGAATCCACATCAGTCACTTTGAAAACCAATGGGAACAAATGATGTGATGTATCTTACTATTCGACGTTGACAAGAAAGAGTTAAATATGGACTTTGAGCTGATTGGTCCGATAAGAAAACGATAGCGTTACAATTGCAAATACTGATGATGGATGATGAGATAATTTTCCCATTTTTCTCCTCAAGATCAATGAATAGAAATGAATTCGAAAGAAAAACAGACGGCCCGAAAGAGGCTAGGAAAAGCAAAATGATGAAGATGTTACTTCTGGAAAATAGAATTCGATATTTGAAAATCTGAAAATGATTAAAGTCACTTATCTGTAGGTAAATCTCATAATATAATTGAATATTCCAAAAAATGGTTTTGTTGGGGGTACTTTTTCAGTAAAAATTCCGAAAAGAACAGACTTGAGATGATAGGTACATACCATGTTTCACTCGGCTCGTTTCTCCCTAGAGTGAACATCTACACATTCACTCAAAGTATCAGGAGAGTTAAGTAGTGCATGCTCTTTCTCTCACAGGACCAAAACAATTAATAAATCTCAAGCATAACATCTAAAGAGTCAAGCTAACCAGTGTATATCAGAAGAATTTTAACTCGACTCGTTTCCAAATCGCTGCACTCGTTTTATCGTCAGTTGTTGAATCTTTAGTATGTTGTTATATAAATATATCTATCTATTACTAAACGTATAACTCCTTTAAGAGCCTTTTAAGACACGGCTTGATGCAGCATCCTTAAATCGATAATCTCAAGTAAATATGCACCAGACCAAAGTGCCTCGAAAACATTGTAATATGGTATGGATAACTAATTTCCATCTATTAGTCGTTTCACGAGGGTAACTATCGCGTTACGTGTGTTTGTATAAAAACATACCGAGGCGGATAATAGGTAGTACGCTTTCTTTGCTCACGATGTGAGATTATGTCGACTTCATCTCTCTATATTAACAAAAACCAATTAGTTCCGTTTGAATTATTTCGGTAAACATCAGATTTTCTTTTCTTTTAATGAAATAGACACATGCTTGTCTGTTGCTTTGTATATATATATATATATATGTATATAAATATGAATAATGACAATAACCAACAACATTTAATTGCGAATGAATAAGAACATCGAATATGTTTATCAAAAAGAAAACAAACAAAAAGCAAATTTAGATTTGTACAATAATTAATAAGCAAGAAAATCATAAGATGAATTTAAAATACAACAGGTGTTAAAGATCCACCGGTGAACAAAGAAAACATGACAACGGACGGCTTCTTTTCTATTGAGAAAATGCTCCGATAGAAATCTCCATGGTTCATCTGACACAGAGAGAACAATAACAGCAGAGAGAAGAAGTTTCCTATTGTCATTAGAAAATTACACATCCTTCACAGCACCCGGGTGTGGATGAATTTGGACTTGTTGTGTCTGATCGATGCGGTGACGTTGCATTCTGGGAGTGATCAGCTGTTCGCTCTTGATTCGTGTCATGTTTATGTTTACGTTTTTGATCGCCATTGGTTGATTCAGGAAGATTCTCACGTGGAACAAGATGCATCACAGTTGTTTTGCCTTGCTGAAGACGAAGTGCGCCTAATGTGACATTACCATGAAGAAATCGTCCTTGATAGATTAATCTTAATACTTCGTAACGATCAACTCTTTGTTCATTTCCCCAATCTAATTCAAAGCAACGAAGAGAAAACAAATCTTAAGACATCAATGCGTACCTTCGGGCCAGTTTTCAAACACATATTTAGCTACATCAGATGCAGTTGTTGTTGGTCGAAATTGAAACTCAGCTGTTCTGCCACTAACAAGAATTAATTTGAGATTGATCTAAATGATGAGAAGATAAGATTCAGTTAAAGTCGTTCATTTGTTTTTCTTACGATATCGGACGGTGAGGATTTCGATCCCATTGATAAGCGAAACAGATCGTCACATCACGTCTGATAAAATATTCATTTTATCGAATGAGGATGAGAAACAAACAATAAACATCATAGGGTATATAATTGAATATTTAGTGATGTCGCTACTGTCGACAGAAGTGAGAAAAAGAATTGAATGAACTTAAATATCGATCAATGTCGTTTTAATTTTAATTTTAATCGGAATATTTCGAAAAATAAAAATTCGAACTTATAATTGATCGAACAAATGCACCAATCAGAAAAAAAGAGATTTCAATTACTTGAAATCAATGGAATGCAAGTGAATCTCTCATTACTTAAGCATTGACTGCTATTTGTTCTATGATGAAATTAACACAAAAGACCATATTTCAATGCTTTGATAAGTCTCAAAAACAATCACCAATAGTTATAAATGAAAAAGATGATGGTATGATAAAAAAAAACATTTGAAAATGAACTTACTTAAGTCAGTACAGGCTATTCGAAATTAGTTTCACCTTTGACGCTCTCCCTACAATCGAAAAGAAAACATTTACTTTTCTTTTTCTACCAGATATAATCGAATGTGATGTGGAACTTGAACCGTCGTTGTCAATCGAGCAACCAGAAAGTCAAACCGACTTTCTTCTACCTGTACACGTACGTCAAGACGATACATCATCACAAGATGAGATCATACCTTTAATCAGTCGATGGAAAGTGGAAGAAGTGGATGATGATGATAGTATCTCATTGCATCATTCCAATGATTTTTATCGGATATGTCCTTTCAACAATCCAGATCAGATCGCATCTCCAAGAGTTCAAGTATAGAATTCGAGTTGTAAGACTTTTAGTTAAATCAGTTTTTTTAAAGTTTAAGCATATTCCATCGCGTGATCGTCAGATGGAATTGTTTCAACAGTACACTAATGATGAATTGAGTTCATACGCTCAATCGACTATTGATTGGCAAACAATGTTTCAATACTTGCAAGACTATCGAACGAAAGCAATCGAGCAAAGTAAATCATCCCGTTTTCATTTTATCAAACATATTGTTTTTTGTAGATCAATACGAACAGTTACCTTGGACAGAAGTATATCGAGCGCGACATACGAAAACTTATCTTGGTAGCCACACGAAGCAGATCAGGCGTTTAAATGAATGGTTTAAACATTGGACAAAGAAATTGCACAACGAAAAACCAAAGAAAATCACATGCAAAGGACGAAAACGTACTAGAGGTTATGAGGATAATTCAGATGAGGATTTCATAGACGAATCGAGTAAGTCAAAATTATAATCATAATCGATCAAATGAACTGTAATTCTTATTCGTTATTATTATCATTTAGATATGATATATTATAATCGTTGTCGATCAAAGCAGGAACATCCACAGTTGATTTTTATACACGGTTGCGGGACAACATCGCTTGTACATGCACTTGCAGAAGAACATCATTTTAAAGTAGAAATTTCGCCTTTCAAAGACACTTTTCGATGAAGCGATAAACCATTTCAGGTGACTGAGATCAATGGAACACAATCTCGCGCACGTGCACCGCTACTTAAACAACTCGAACAAGTGACTAGTCATCATTACTTGTCACTAAAACGTTGTGCGTCCGATACGATTTTACCATCAGGTAAAAAGCATTGATTTCAACTACTTTATGACTTTTGTTCGGTAATCAGAGGATCCTATGAAACTCAATACATCTTTGCCAGTAAAGAAAAAAGCAAAGAATGAGCGCGGCACGATCATGTCATTTTTCAATAGCAAGAAAACTGATGAACATAAAGAAACCAATACTCGACGTCGGTCAGATTCAACGAACAAAGCCAATACAGTGACAACTAGACGGACCAAGAAGCAAGAAGAAGAAAAACAGCAACGACCACCTGTGCCTACGGATCCATCTTTACTTTCATCAGTGCATGTGGAAAAGTCTTCTCTGATTCTTTTTGATGAAGTTTGTCAATCTCAAAACAAATTAAACATTTCGACTGTCGTCGTTTTTCTTATAGATTGAAACATTAACAGCAGATGACAATTTTTGGTCATGTTTAAAGAAGTTACTCGAAACGGCAAAGAAACCGATCATATTAACATCGAATAGTCGAAGTAATCCTGAAGATGTTATATTTAATCTTTCTAAAATAGGAGATTATGAAATGATTCATCTCGAACCCAGCGAACCAGTACGTTGATTTTGTTTTCATACTTTTCATAAATTTGTTTTCTTATAGGAACTTGTTTTCTGTTTTCTTCGGCTGATACTCTTAGTTGAAACGCTCGAAATACCTGTACTCAATGATCTGGTAGCTCTTTTTCAATCATGCTCTTGTGACTTACGTCAAAGTCTATTAACATTGCAATTTCTCGCACAATCGTCGTCGATAGCTTGTACAGATCACATATCAACTGAACGGACCGAGGAGAAATCGAAATTGCAGTCTTCACGCCTTTTTGATACAATGTATTACTCTTATCTTGCTGAGCAATGGGATGAATCCATTCTTAAAGCCCCCTTTGACGATCTGACGAGAAAATATACATGTGAATATGAACAATCTCGTCTTTTATTAGTTAATCACTGTAAGAATGACTCGAAAAGGTAAATAAGTGTTACACATTCTACGAACGAGATTTTTATCAATTAACCATTTAGAATCGAATTATATGATACATTCAAAATGTTCATGCAAGAACAAAATACGGAGAATCTTATCAATCGGTCAGCTTTTTATCTAGATTACCGACCATATATTAGACAAATGTGTCAAAATGAGCAAACACGAGCTGCTGAATCGACTTCCACTCGACGGTATAAACGAAACTTTTTAGTATTTACCAACTAGTCTACGTTTCTCTCTCATTTAGCCTTCGACATTGTCTCAGTTTTCGCGGTTGTTCATTACAATGGTCGGATTTTGCAACTCTCTCGAGCGGTCTCGATTGAAACACTTCTTCTTTTCTCTCTTTTTTTTACAACGTTTACTATCAATGTGTGCATTTTGTTCCTTAATACGAGATTATATATTTTTTTGCTGTCTCTAAAATAATAACAGTGTCAGATAGATTGTCTGGTTCCATTTGTGAGCAGAAAGTCCTGATATATCTATATGATAGACCACGATAAAAACAATGCTCTCTATCTTTTTCTAGATTGATTAACCAATCATGGCGTTCTTCCCTGGTAAGTTCAATCCGTAGGATGATTTGCAGACTTAAACTGGGTATTTTTAGGAGCTGGTAAAGATCAGATGCGCGCTGATCAACTCATGAAACGACGTCAACAAGAACACGAACAGATTGAAATCAAGAAGAAAAAGATCGAAGAAGAAAATCGTATGCAAGCCATCGAGGAGAAATTCAAAGCGCATTATGATGCTGTTGAACAGATGCTGAAAACGGATACGGTTGGTCTGGTATCCTTAGATGAAATGAAGAAGAAGCAGGAAGAGATTATCAACGCGCGTGAACAACAGTTGGCACGTGAAAGAGAAGCTAAACTTGGCGATTCAATGAAAAACAAACAAAACAATCAGAAAAATGCTGGAGCGCATCAGCGACCGAGTAAACTATCATTTGCTGATGAATGGGACGAAGAAGAAGAAGAAGAAGATGTTGAAGAAGACAAGAAGCCTCAGCCAGTTAAGAATGAGGAAGTAGGTTATGCTGTTACTTTCGAGTGAAATCTCGACTGATTCGTTTGTTGTTCATAGTCTGTGACTACCGATGATCACTCAGAGAAGTCGAATGATGTTCCAACAAATGAATATGCGGATAGTAATGATAGTACATCTCAATCCGGGCTGACAAATATTGAACTTGATCAGCTGGTTGCTGCAACGAACAAGAAACGTCTTGGTAAAAATCCAGGTAAAAGTCAAACATCGAAACGATAACCTATTATATTGCTTTATCTTTTCAGATGTTGATACAAGTTTCTTACCTGATAGAGATCGCGAAGAAGAAGAACGAATTCTACGCGAAAAGCTTCGTCAAGAATGGGTTGATAAACAGCAAAAGTTGAAAAATGAAGAAGTCGATCTTGTCTTCAGTTACTGGGATGGTTCAGGACATCGCCGTTCGGTACGAATTAAGAAGCGTATGACAATACAAATGTTTCTCTCGAAAGCATTGGAAATCCTTCGAAAAGAAAATATGTTTAATGAACTAAAATCAGCGTCAGTCGATCAATTGATATTCGTTAAAGACGATGTCATTCTTCCGCATCATTATTCATTCTACGATTTTATCGTCACACGTGCGCGCGGCCGAACAGGTCTTCTGTTTACTTTCACAGAATCACTGAAGCTTAATACGATCATTGAAGTACCAGCATCGGCGACAACAACGACAGATATGAACTCAGGTGATTCACCTTCATCGTCAGGCGCGAACGATAATCAACCTGGAGGATCATCAGCTCATGCCGGAAAGATTTGTTTACGTTCGTGGTATGAGCGAAATAAGCATATCTTTCCAGCATGCCGTTGGGAACCATACGATCCGGAAAAACGTTGGAATACGCATGAGCCAGTGAAAAATCGTTTTTGTTTGAAATAATTTGACGTTCTTTTCTGTATAAATATCGAAACTTTATTTTGTGTTAATATAGAGACTAAGAGAGAAACGAAATTCTTCTCGCTTTCTTCTATAACGTTTTTTATCTTTCATTTGTTTTATTTATTTCGATGTCTAACGATCTTCTTTATCTTCTGATTGCATTCGTTTGTTGCATAACAATGAGTACGGCGAATACAACAGCAACAACGCCTATCGTTGTTAACACGTGGCCGTTTGTAAATGCAACTCGAAATGCGTTTAACAAATTGAAAATCCCAGGTGCGACATGTCTCGATGCAGTCGAAGTCGGTTGTCGAACATGTGAAGATGAACAGTGTGATGGAAGCGTCGGATGGGGAAATCATCCAGGAGAAGATGGAGAAACAACATTGGATGCATTAATTATGGATGGACGCACAATGAGTGTTGGTGCTGTCGCCAAGTATATCTTAAGTTTTGAATAAAGTTGTCCTTTTGTCCGGGGAAGAGGGAGAGAGAGAGAGAGAAAAGACATCTTGTAGTGTAGATTCCGAGGTATAATTGATTTTTCAATAACATGGTGATCTGAATTTGGTTTGTTTATCGTTTTAGTTTACATCGTATCAAAAATGCTGTTGGTGTTGCTCGTGCAGTTTTAGAATATTCCAGTCATTCGTTTTTAGTCGGAGAAAGTGCGACGAAATTTGCAATTGAAATGGGTTTCAAAGAAGAAGACCTTCACAGTAACGCATCGATCGATATTTGGAACAAATGGAAAAATGCAAATTGTCAGCCTAACTTTCGACGTAATGTCAAACCAGACCCGACAACAAGTTGCGGACCGTACAAACCTCAATCAAACGATGGTACTCGTTAGTTTTGATTTCTGTTCGTAGATTCTTTTCTTCTCTCATAGACGGAAACAAATCACCATCACATCATCAATTACCAACTCGCGAACATGATACGATCGGCATGATTGCGTTAGATTTCGAGGCTAATATGGCAGCTGGCACTTCAACCAACGGTCTTCAGTATAAAATTCCTGGTCGTGTCGGTGACTCACCTATCATAGGAAGTGGTGCTTATGTTGATAATGAAATTGGCGGTGCGTGTGCAACAGGCGACGGTGACGTGATGCAACGTTTTGTTCCTTCCTACCATGCCGTTCAACTGATGCGCCAGGGAACGTCGCCTGACGAAGCATGTCTAGACGCTGTCAAACGTATTGCCAAATATTATCCCAGTTACACGGGTGCTGTCTTAGCATTGCGCAAAGATGGCAGATACGGTGCAGCGTGCCACGGCATGGACGCATTTCCATTTTCTGTGATGCAACAAGGTTGGACTGATCCGAAAATATTTCAAATTCCTTGTTATAAACCATAAATGAGAATTTTCTTCTCTCTCTTTTTTTTTGCATTTACTTCTTCATGATAAACATATACCGTAATTTATGTTCTTACATCGCTAATTGATTCCAGATAGATAAAATAAATGACTATCATTCAACGTTCTCTGAATCTATGTAGTCAATGTTACATGAAATTGCCCACTCGTCACATAAATATAAATATTATCAATCCAAGAAAGAAACCAGTACCAACAGTCAGTTTTGTTGGTGAACGTTCCTACCTTTATCCATCTGTTTACTGTTGGGGATACATTGGTACAGGTGCATTAGGTGTTTTTGATTTTGTTAATAAACGTCCTGACCCCAAACATACGGATACGAAACAACAGACTCGTCTGCGTCGTTCAATTCCATACCGACATCCATTTTCCTATGAACATCGAATCAAAATTAGTCGGATCGCATGCGGAAATGGCTTCACATTATTCTCGTCGAATACTTTAAAATATGATAAATTGTGGGCTTGCGGTCTGAATACCGATAGTCAATTGACATACTTCAAAGATCGTAATCATCCGAAAGGTTTTGGTGATTATATTATCGTGCCAAAAGTCATCCATCTACCAATGAAGCACCCACGTTCGACACGAATTATACAGGTAGCGGCTGGTAGAGCACATTCAGTGGTCTTAACTGATAATTCTGGTTAGTTTGATTAGAAAAAAAAGTTATCTTTATCATTGTTCATTGTGCAGGTCTGTTCTCATTTGGCAATAATGCGTTCGGTCAGTGTGCTCGTCAAGTTGTTCCTGATGAGATCTATAAAAATAATATGTTAATTCATTCATTCAATCTTGATTTAAATGACGTCGATGATAAAGTAACTGAAATTGTTTGTGGGCAAGATCATACATTATTTCTTACAGAAAAAGGCCGAGTCTATTCTTGTGGATTAAATACAGATGGACAGTTAGGCGTCGGCCATTATGAATGTGTCGCACGACCAGAACGAGTCCGTGGTGATATTGAACACGAACATATTGTTCAGCTTGCCTCGAAAGGTGACTGTGTGTTAGCTTTGAATAAGTCTGGTGACGTGTTCGGTTGGGGTAACAATGAATACCGTCAATTGGGAATTATGAATGATCCTATTGATTCGCCTGCTTCCTTACAATGTGCGCAGCCACGTCGTCTTCGTTTTCGAAATGGTTCATCATTAACAAATATGAAGTGTGTTGCTGCTGGTGGCTCTCTATGTTCAGCTGTCGATCAACAAGGTCAGTTATATATGTGGGGCTTTGGCTTGCTTGGCTTCGGTCCTAAACATACAACGATCGATATTCCACAAGCAATGCCAATGGAATTATTCGGACAAAACGAATTCAATCAAGATGTTAAAATTGACCATGTAACTAGTGGTCTAATGAGCACGGCGGCAATTACAACTAATGGTGAATTATTTATGTGGGGAAAGAATCGCTACGGCGCATTAGGTGTTGAGTTCGATGAAGATGCACCTATGCCTATGCGTGTTTTTGTACCTGCACGCGTACGCTCAGTTGCACTTGGACCTGACCATACATTCGCTCTATGTAAAGGATATGTATAGATATTAATAAACGAACATTTTCTCGAATCAATTTGCATATAACATCTAGTTGTTAAGTACGATTACTTCGAGTCTGAGCCAATGTTAAATTACTTATTAGACCGATCAAATGACAAAGAACTTCACGTTCGGAAACGTAAAACACTGTTTCAATCAAGAATAGTTATTGTCTAAGGTAGACAAAGCGCTTTTGTGAAGACATCGAAAAAAAGTATTATTCGATATTAAGAAAGGAGATCGAGTCATGCAATTCCATAGGTGTATTGTTTTGTTTATTTATGTTCTCGATCAGGTGCAAACACGGAACTTAAATCGTTGATTAATCAGTACATTTCTTAGATAAGAATCTTCTCCATTCATAAACAACACTGTGTGCAATTCGCTTCATGAACTTTGTATCTACAAACACATGTTATGTCAGTATTTCGGAAGCCGAATGTCAACGGATACAGATTCTAATGTTTCCTATTGTTTTATCATAATCGATCTAATAATATAAATGAAAATCAATATGCCGTAAATTATTCTTCTCGGCCCGGCGAAGTCTCTTAATAGCTCTCTGAGCGAAAAGTCATAAAAACCACACCGGATACCTCATTCATTGTCTGTACACTGATTCGTGGTAGGCGTTTCAAATGTCGATTAAGATGAATGTATCACAAACGAACAAGTGTAAGCTCGAGGATTTCTTTTGAATGAATATTCAAGAGCAACTGTGTGAAGCTATTATCTTAATTCATGTATTTCATCATTCTATCCATGTTTTTTTTCCATATCAGTATGACATAGGGTGGGAACAAAGCTGCAGAATATTTTCAAGATGTTTTCGTACTTTTCTGACGTTTTTTTTTGACGGAAAGAAAGCAGAAAATGTCAAATTTTCCTTCAAATTCTTTGTGGTCGCTGAACATCAGTGAAAGTATTGCAACAAAGATAGAAATCTTCAATGCATTTTCTATACCGTATGCCGATCATAATGTTATTAGAGGTTTTTCTCTTCATCAACACATCTCCTTCATTCTTTCCTTTTTTCTTCTCTTTGTCGCATTTTCTTTTTCACACTTGTTCTACCCACATCTGAGCTGTAACAGAAGAAGGAAACAGGAGAGGACTGCATTGTTGTAGTCTCCATATAGTTTTTCTTCGTGTTGTAGTATATAAATGTTTGCACTTGCTTCTTTTCACGCTTTTCTTCATCTTCTTTAGATATCGAACTGTTTCTCTTTATTGAATATAAATGATATCCTCATCAATTCATATTCGTTGTCTTTTATTATTCTTTATCCTTTTGCAATCTGTTTCACTTTACAAAATCTATGCAGACGATCAGCAGGTACATCGATCATACTCAAAATACCGCCATTTGACTATTTGTCTCTTCTAGCATCCAGATTCAAAAGACTCGTCTTTCAAAGACGAAACCAACCCATTAATACAACATGAAAGTTTCGAAGATGAAGATAATATTAGAGACGACACAGACAATTGGCAGCTGAAATCAAAACGTTCAATATCATCAAATGGACTTCGACAAACGCCACAACGTCAGAACAGTCGGCCACATTGGAATCCTTTGGTAGCTGCGTATAAGCGTTGCGGTGAATTAACTTCGCGTATCGAACGCGAGTCATGTTTCAAAGAAGCTGTGCAAATGCTCTTTGTATATAAACTAAGAAAATAATAAAAGAATAATACTCCTTAAAGACAACATGATAATAGGAGATCGTTCGTTTTCTTCCCGATGATGCGAATCATTGATGTATATTTAGAATGTGCAAACTCCGTGACAAGATTAACTATTTGTCGGAAGAGAAAAAGATCAGTCGAAAATGATTTTTATGTCTGTGGTGTTCGATTTTTCCCATTGTTGTGATGTTTCGTCAAATAAAGAAAACGACAGATGAGTGACCAATAATTTCAAGTCAATTTCCTTTTACATGATTTTTATCGATACTCTAAAACATCCGAGCATCTGTTTCCTTCATTGAATTGAGAATAACAGAAATCTTCAAACATCGACATCATGCTTCCGCATTCAGATTTCTTCCGTTCAACGATGTTCTTGAATTAAATGAACCAAAACTGACATTCCATATTTATCATTTTCCTTTGTTTCATACGTGTTGACTGCCGAAACAATTCATATTTTCGTTCACACTAGTAATATTTGAATTAATTATGCTATTCTGCTATACTTATCTGTGAGAAAAGTGTCATATGATTTCATTGATTAACACTCGTCCAAGAAAAGCTATTGTAGAACTTCACACTTACTAGAAATCAGAATTCACACGTGGCAAAACGCAAGTTCTTTAAAGTTTAATTGAGTATAGACAACTTATATTGTACTTGGTGTTTTCAAGTGTGAAGACAGTATAGAATTGGTAAAAAAGAAATGAATTTCCGTATTTTATGGAATGTTGTCAGAATAATGTTTTTCTGCACCAAAGCAAAAACTCCATTAGAAATTCTTATGTAGTTGGGAAAATAGGACGCCTACCCGTTTATATCTAAATAGCTATTTTAAAAGTCGATCTGATGTCGTCATCATAGAAAAACGTGTATGCAGCAAAATGATATACTGCAAAGAACATTAATTAGCAATCTTTTTCATATTACACTTGATAATAGGACGGAAATACGAAGGCTCAGGTGTGCCAACATGACATACAAATATTGACAATCAGGAGGAACAGTTAATATGTGTTTTGGTTTTTACTCGTAGGTCGTTTCGTTCCGGTGTGAGAATGTTATTGTCATGAACCTCCTAATCAAACACCTTAAAAATAACCTGATATTTTCACGACTTTACATTCTGATAGTTATTCTAGTTAAAGGCACATCAATTCATGCATTTACTTGAGAAAATAAGAAATTAAAAAGAAGCAACGTTGTCTATATTGGAATTTATCCACTTTCATCCGTATAGGAACAGCACTAACATAATACTGAAGGAATGATCGAAGTTGCATGTACTTATCATTTCTTCGATCGTAGTGATTTCATGCTCCAGACTTTGAGAGTACAATTCGGTAGTTTCTTTTGTCTTGTAAGGCTTGCTCCAGAGCATTCTCGAATTAGGCACTTGTTTTGCTTTAGGCTGTAGTGACCCGATTCGTATATTTTAAGCTAAAGAAAGTATGCGATTGTCAGACTGATTGGTCTATTAGATATGAAACTCAAACATCTAACAAAAAGATCAACATAACTAAGAGAATTCGTAAGCTTGTGGTTTATGTGCACCAGCGCATGCTTGTAATAAATCGATGATATGTTCTTCTGATAGTTCTTCGAGAGTATTAGCATAAATTTGTATATGATAACCATGAAAAAAACGTTCGAAATCCGATCGTTGAGTTGAAGCGCGTGCAGCACGTAATGTTGGCTAATCAAAACAGATATTCAATCATTCAGAAATAACTGCATGTGATACTCGTCTTACTACGTTTGCTCCGACATAATTGATGTACACGAATTTAGCACGATGACTTCCATATTCATCAACTGCTCGAACACGAACCACACCTACGTAGATTTGATTGTCATGAAGTTTCCGCTTCATTTCGTTCAGACCGCCTGAGCCTTTACCACGTAATACGATTTCACCTTTATCACCATATGTCAACAGGACCCTTGACAGAAACAAGAATAGAGGTAATTTCTCGAAAAAATAATTAAATCGATCCGATACCAATTTGTATTTGACGCGTCGTTTCTAACATCTTGCCAAGCTTCTTGAAGATCTTCACCGCTCAAATCGATGGTACGTTTTAATGCTGCCATGAACAATCTATTCAATATACAGCATGTGCCAGTAAACAATATCAATGTCGGTTATTTAGTTCGATGGATGAATCATCGTAGATATCGCGAACAGTAGGCTATAAGAGTAGAGTAAGCTAGTATGCATCCTGTTACATCCAAAATAGATAACCTTTTTCCTTATTTGGCATGAAGAGGCGTTGCTGGATAGACGGAAAGAAAGTATATAGAACAGAAAGGAGAAGCCAACTATATCAACAGATTCCGATTGATATGATTATTGTTGGCAATGATGATCGTCTTGATAGTTGATTATAGTAGTTATTCAAGTAAAATAAAAACAAAATTTATCTACATAAACATATGAACAGGTGCTGACAATTGTGTTCTTCTCATCCCTGACATTCGGAAATCTTTGATATGCAAGAAGAGTTTTGACGAAGAATAACATCTTTTCTACTTTATTTCTATATGCAAAAAACATTCTGTTATCAGTCAGTTGAAACTTGGTATTTCGCAGCACCGGGATAACGCGATTGAAACTTCGCATAGCCACTTTTGGAAAAAAGACATTTCAAATGAATAAATTGTGAATCATTTTCATCGACAGTCATCGACTCGATGGAACATATGTTCCCATCCGCGAGTGTTTGATAAAGTTGTCCTCCTTGTAGCACACGGTATTGACATGAAACACGTTCACTAGCAACCATTAGTTTGTTTTGTATTGTTTCGATAAGCCGATCAAGACCTTGGCCAGTGTTGCACGAAACAAATAATCCGCTGTTCTTTTCTGAATTGAATTGCTCTGACGAAGTAACTTCTTTTTCTAATAGGTCAGATTTATTAAAAACAGTTATCATCGATTGCATCTTCGCTGGAGAAACATTGAGTTCGTTTAATGTTTGTATAACAATCTTTCGTTGCACTAGATAATCTGGATGGCTAATATCGCAAACATGAACTAATAAATGAGCATCAATGGCATCATTTAATGTCGCACGAAAAGCTTCGATCAATGTCGTCGGAATATCAGCTATATGAACAAGAAAAAGTTTCATTGATCGATATTCAATTTATCATAACTTATTCTTACCAATAAAGCCAACCGTATCCACATAGAGAACATTTAAAGCATTAGAAAGAGTACCAGCATGAGTTGTGACATCTAGATGATAAGTGAATATGACCTGAAGATGTATTTTCTTTTTGTGATTGTTGTACCTAATGTAGCAAATAATTGATTTTTTGGCTGTAAGGACGCATCTTTCGATAAAGCTTTGATCAATGATGTTTTACCAGCATTTGTATATCCAACAACTGCAACAGTAGGAATATCCATCGATACGCGTCGACGTTTGATCAGTTTTCGATGTTCTTCAAGTTTCATCACTTCAGCACGAAGATTTCGTTCGCGATCCTTTACAACTACTAAATAGCGATTCTTTGAATCTATTTCGAGGATTTACTTTGAATAATTCGGAATCATTTTTACGATATCTTAATAGAGGAATTTCCGCCAGAGCAACTTGCAGTTTAGCAGCACCACTTTGAGCGTGATTTTTGAAAATCTACAGATGAAAGTTTCATCATATGAGTGAAAACGAAAAGATCTCTCCTACTTGAAGTACAATTGAATACCGATCGTAGACAGGTACACGAAATTTTTCGGTCAATCCATCTATTTGAACAAGTGAAAGACGGTCAATTGACACGAACACTGCTGTTGCTTGACATTGACGAACTTCCTCAGTGATCTTTTCGATGTTGCCTTTTCCGTATAGATACCGTTGAGAGCCGCTTGTTTTTAATGTATAAATTCCATGTCCAACAACTCGCCACTTGTTCAAAGTGTGAATCAGTGAAATGGACTCTGCTAATTGCAAGTCAGCAGTGGTCGATTGGCGACCTCGCGCTTTGAATTTCATGGATGGCTGAATAATGTAAACACGATGACCGGAGGATCGAATATGTAGCAAGGCAGACGATGCAGAAGCGAATTCATGGTCGTCAATAAGAGTTTGCAGATGACGATCAACAAATTCTTTACTGTACAAACGAGTAGAACGAGAAAACGAACGAATACAGGATTTGATCGTTGATAGGTGAGTAAAAATCTGCTTGAACAACATTCTTCTTCTATCTAAAATAATCACACGTCGTGATTCTAATAGGAAACAATTGGCTTATTCTATCACCGTCATAGATCAAACTCATTTCGCAGTAATCTCAAAACCATAAGGTGTCGCCATGTAACATCATTCTATCCATTCTATGACATTCTCAATTTTTAATATTTATACATCACAGAGGTAGCATTACTGAAGCAATTTATTCGTCTGCAAAACAAAAAAGAATCATAAAGTTTTCACTACTGTAATATTTGGTTTGTATAGAAAATATTGAGTTCAATTAAAACTTAAAAAGCATCTTTCGTTAGCAATTACTGAGAAAGGATTTTAAATAAAAACATCAATATAAAAAGCAAAAACATAGCACCATATCGTGGAATGTTTATTGATCACTAAACTTCATGATAGTATTGTTCATATTCACACATGAGTTTCGAGCATCTGCGGATGCCACGAGTTGGCATGGAAAATCTATAAGAATGTTAACTAGAGTCGATATTCACCTTGTTATTATCAAATGAATTTTACCGAATGGAAACTGTCTATGGGAGGTTGTCGTCGAGATTTTGTACGCAGATGTTTGATATCATCTTGTAGACAACTGATTTCAAACGATAATTGTCGTTCGAAGAGGTTAGGAAAGTAATTTTGATCATAACGGCAATAACATTTCGACCATAGGGTAATGTTGAATATACGCCAATCAACTTGAAAATCGTGGATAAATGTTTGCGGTGCTTCGATATTATCGTATTCATAGTATTCGGAATCGAGCATTGGTGATGGCAATGAATTTTGACGAACGTAATCCGGTGGTTTAGGTTTTTCAAGACGGTAGATAATACGACCTGGTGATTGTTCCGTAGATGACTTACTTCTAGTATGTGAAATGGAAGTAGACGATCTTGGAGGGACGATCAATGTTGCATGATTTTTCAACAGACGAACAATATCTGGAAGCAGATATAGTGAAAAATCAAATGCGGACAGAATCAAAATAGATTTTGAACAATTGCTGATTGCATCGAGACGTTCGAGAACCGAATTAAAAGCGAAGGTATGTTGGTAGCAATAGCAAACATTGTGATAGAGTTCGAGTAAAAGGTATTCAGTGAATTCGAACGCAAACGGATTCTGATTGATTAGTTGATATACACAATCGAGAAAGAGAAGGAACACTGGTGCCTGAAATGAAATAGGTTTTTTTTGTAAAAAGTCTTTTTTCAAAAATAAAGAACCAACTTCTTGCGCCGGTGAACCGTACACATCGGACGACACTTGACCAAAACGTTCCCGAAACGGATGGCCACGAACGATCCATTCGCGAACAATTAACTCACAAAAACCTTTGATCGTTCGACAACGCGGTCGAAGAAATATTTGGATTAATGATGCCATCAAACAATTATTATCTGTGTCACTTCCTATAGGAATAGAAATATATTTTCCTCAGATGCATAATCGTATTTCATACCTGCCAGCTCAATATGTTTACAGTTTAACAACTTAGCAAGCGAAGCAGCGCCGTGCAATGCTTTCGAAACGTATTTCAACCATTTGCATGCTTGAAGTTTAGTTAGCCATTTTTCATTATCATCGTCTATAAAGTATAGAAACTAACCTATGTTTTTACCAGACGATTCATTTACGTACCACAAGACATTGCACATATTTCGATTAGTTTCTCGTAAGTAGTTTGCAAGCGTTTTAAATTGCACGGAAATTTTGCCAAGTTATATCGATGGAATGTTCTCTCATGTATATAGTGATGTGAGTAAGTTAAACTGGCATCTGTGTCATTTCGGCGAAAACTAAAATCAATGAATCTGTCAAGTGAAGATGATAACATAATAGTATGGATTAGTTCATCATTCATCACCAACGTGCAATATCTAATCCTATGGCTATTACCTTGAAATGATGGATAACTCATCTTTTGGTCGAAAAGAAAGAGATTATTAGGCACTGCGTTGAAATTCATTTTAGTCGTGTGAAAGCACACCGATGTCTACTTACGGATCTCCAGCAACGGTGATCTCGCCTATATCAGGTACAGTGATAAGCATATATTGCATTTGTCCTCTTTTGTATTGCTGACGATGATCGATTGACGCGTCAGATGTATGGGTCCAATGCCAAATCTTTTTCAAATAAACAAGTCTATCAAAGGATTCGCACGTATCCCACGACTCTTACCAATTGGTCGAGATTTTCACTTTCATTTAGAGTTATCAAACGAACATATGGTCCTTCACTGTCACCGAAAGAGAAGAATGAATACCTCCTTTTAAAAGTAATTCTGTTTACATACGTTCGCGCAATATACGACTTATCGAATTTGGTGTGGTTAACCACCCACTGTCTTTCATTCGCCGCGTACAATTCATCATTCCAATCTTGATAGGTTATATAGCTTTTAATACGTTCATCGTTGCTCAAACAAAAGTCTAGACGAAATAACGAATACAATTTGAAAGAAGAACGATGCTGAGAGAAGTCTTACCAACGATGTCATCATCGGCGGATCGACCGCTTGACGAAGACGTTATTGGTGACAATGCACGACTACGTGAAGGTCGAGAATTTAAATTATTCGATGGAGGTTTTTGTATCAGATGGAAGAGATATAATTGTTCTTTGTATTGACAACGATATTGAATTTGTAACGAATTGATGTACTATGCAAAACAGAATACGATAAAGAAAATTCTGTAGAACGGTTTATACCTTTTCCATTTGTGATGTAGATGTTTGCTGTTTACTTCCCAGAGAATTCGATTTTGTTACTGAACATTTTGAGAATGTTAAGTTTCGGAAGTCCTTTACAACGTACACAAATTCGTTAATAAAACAAAATGAGTTCACGACATACTCGAGTAATGATTGTGAACGAGCGAGTTTCGGATTGAATCTGATTTTCATTAAGAAATGATCGAAAACCCGATCGAGAATCAACAGCTATAAAAGAAAAACACGTGATTTTGTAGAACAATTCCGAAACACTAACGTGCAACGATAATTCTATAAATAGATGCCAAGGGGATATCATATTCTCCTATGTATCTATTTCCTGATGCGATCTAAATAAACAAATAACAAAACTCGATAATTGAACTGCATTCAATATCGAATAGTTCTTACAAGATTATTACTATCTAAATCATTGTCAGGTGCAAATATCAAACGAAATATTGTCATATACAATGTGCCATTTAACCGTTGACATCCATTTTCAGCATATTCGACATTTCGTACATGCACGTGTAATGGAGTTTCCTCTAAACGATGCGAACAAAGCCGTCGTGATTTTTACTATTGACAACTGTCAATGGGACATACGTGGTAATAATTTTCGTACGATTTTTGCTATTTCGGGTAGAATACTTGGAATGTGATCAATTCGAGACGAGCCATCGCTCTCAGGTTCGTTGGAATAGAACCGAGATGATTGATGTGGACCAGTACTAATCGATCGGGTACGTATGGTGTTACGATGGAATGACATTTGAAATGATTTTCATCATCTACTTCTTCTGTTTTGAATTTGAACGAAATCTTATTGAATAATCATTGTTTGATAACTGAGTATTGGCCCATTTGCTCACCAATCGAAATTCAAATGAATATTATATTTATATTTGTTTAATGTGTGTTTATTGCACTTTCGAAAACGTATTAAATTTATTGATCCAACCAAATGATATCCTTTTACCTAATGAAAGTGAATCGCAAAAGAAGAAATAAAAGTTACCAATGATGATTATTATAGAAACTAGATAATTGTACGTCGATATACGTCAAATAACAATGACTACTGGTAGTGCTCACATTTGTTGAGACTCAAATCTTTACCGTTAGTGCGAGAATCTCCGAAAAAGTAGAGTGGTCATTTTACAATAGCTGCTTTTTGGTTATCATTTATCGAAATTTGCATCTCATTGAAAAAACGTTTTCCAGTAGGAAGGTTTTTGTGCTCGCGTTCGATTTTAATTCAGCCACTATCATTAACAGTTTTTTCAATATATCCAAAGAAATTTTTAATGAATACCTACGATATGTTCGAATATACACGTGATAAGGTTAAAGTTTTCGAAGAACAAGCGCATGTATTCGCTCAAAAACAGCGTTTCCGAAGCGTCAACACGCGGTTATACGAATCCTTGTCTACTTGAGTAATTCTTCAGATTCTGAGTTACCTCAAACGTCATATAAATCGAAGTATAGTTGGACTAGGACTAGATTGGCGTATCACTATTTCAACCCAGCATTTGGTACAATTGAACTCAATGAATAAGTTTTGCAACATTTAGCAAGTAGTAGAAAACAGAAGATCATACAAAAACCTTATGTTCGAATGAATTTCCGTTCATGGAAGATATCACCATTCGATGCATAATCAGATTCGATGTTGAATGAACTCATTTCCATGGACGAAAATTCGCATATTCGTATTATTTTAATGATGATAAATGTTCATAGAAATTCGTTGACTATTTATTTCGAATATAAGTAGAAACGTACTGAGAGAAAGAGAAAATGCTATTGCAATTAGTTATAAGATTAAACTGCTTACACTCAAGTCGAGCAAACAACACTGTTACAATATATGATATCCACTAATTATTCCACACACAGTGTTGTATAGATGTACTCAACAGGACGGACTATGTGTGGTACATTTACCTTACGTCGGATGCGTAACTACTCAAAGATGTCAGTTATAGTTGGCGATAGGCTAAAAAGTAGATTATTCTTGATTTATATATTTATCTTACGAAATGACCGTGTGATTACGAATGAATACATTCCGATACTAAAGAATAAGTACAATAAATAGATTACATTTATTTGATATTATGGCTGTGACGATATGGAGATCATTAGTGTGGTTACTTTACACATGAGGATGATTAATATTAAAATGCGAAGAAGACTTGTTATACACGTACTTACCATCTTACACTTATCTACTTGATCTCGATTCGGTCAATACATTTGACCTCCCACGATACACCAGCTGGAGTTGTAAAATATTGCCATCTATCGCCAAGGAGTTTTTCGACATCTGTTTGCATAATGACTAAACCAATCAGACGACGAGCGTGTGAGCTAGCTAGCTGGCTATATAAATACGTACAGCACTAAAAGTATTCCCACCATTTTGATTTATTTCGTTTCATTGAAATGTCGATATCTCCACCACCATTCAGTCCACCTCGATCTGGCTCAAGCGAAGAAGACAACAACGATTACCTCAACAACCTCGTCGACGCCGATGATGATGATGAATACATTGATTCACCACGAACCTTAATTTCATCATTTGATCTGTACAAAAATGCTATTGATCGCTTACGCTTATCAGTTAAATCGCAATCCATTGAACAGCAACAGAGTTCATTAGATCATTTTAAACCATTATCCACACGAACAAATGCATGGTTATACATGCGTATTCATGATGATTTATTCAGTATACTATCAGAACATTTATTAACTGACAATTTAGAAATCCAATCAACGGTCTTGAGTATTTTTGGAAATATTGCTTGTGAACAGGCATCACATGAACAGGTGAGTGAGTTGCTAGTGAGAAGGATGCTCCTGAATGATGAATTTTCTATTTAAGATCTTCGAAACTAATTTAATCGAAATTGTCTGTCAGAAAATCGTCGATGTCAGTGAGATCGATATCATTAATCGTTGTTTTCGATTGTTAGGCAATGTTTGCACTGCAGAAGATGCTGCACGGAAAATGATCGATGCTGGTATGTTACGATTTTCTTCATGAACGATTCTCTATATGATTGTTCCAGACTTGGCTCGATCGATGGGAAATGTTTTACGCGATTGTTCAGATCCGGCATGTTTGCATTCAACTGTTCGTTGTTCAAGGTATGAATTCATCGCTGCACAAAATCAAATCATTCTTTTTTGTTTCTCACTAGGAAATTGAGTACATATGCATTCTGTCGTGATCGAATGTTGGATTCAGCGTGTCTGCTATGCATATGTAAACTATTATTTGCTGAAAAGGTTGCTTTGAGAAAAGAAGCAATGAAAGCTGTGTTAGAATGGGATACTGAAAGTTCAGATCGAAGTCGTTGCCAAGTAAAACTTCACTTTGTTTCCATTTAATCTCGATCGAACTTGTTCTATTTTAGTTACGCGAAGGTGATATCTTTCGTTTTCTAATTACAACGATTGAAGCCAAATCAGATAAAGAATATCGTCATATTGCATTTCGTCTTTTAAATAATCTTTTGCGACATAGTGATATGCGTACGGAATTTGGTGCACGTCAAGGTTTAGACTTCCTATTGAAATTAATTACAAATCATCAATACCAATCCACGTACGAACATTTGAAATTTATTGGTTTATTTTGTGTCTGTTGTCAAGACACCAACAATCGTCGTTTAATCAAAGAGGATATCAACAAATTACAACTAATTTTCAACTATTTAGAAAAATACCAGTATCGATCAAATTTTCTGGATTTATTATTAACAGCCATCGGACAATTCATATATGATGAGCAATCATTGAGTATCTTTGTGAAGCAAATGCAGTTTATTGAACGGATGTGCGGCCTACTGGAATCAGTGGTTATGGTTAAATATGAAAATAATGAGAAAAGATCTGGAGCTGATAATGACGAAGATTCACGAAAAACGAAGCGAATCAAAACAGAGCACACGGTAAGAATCGGATTTTCACCTTAGAAATTGCACTGTTTTTCTTCTCGGCAGACTGACGGTAAACAACAACGTATTTCCGTAATGATTGATATCAGCGAAAGTTTATTTACTGAATTTGTTGAAAATACACACTTGGATGAAGAACGGCCAGCATCATCATCATCATCATCGGCTCAGATTCCTTTGACAAACACAAATATTGAAACCCGTCGTCGTACTGAAGCATTAATTTTTACCTTGTTATCGAAGTTCTCCTACGATACAACGGAGAAAACTCTTCGACGTTCGCTGTATACCCGTCGGCTTGTTTCCGTCCTGCTTCGATACATTTCTCTATGCGATGAACCCAATCCACGTGCCGTACGAATACTTTCTCGTTTGACAAAAATGACCGACTGTACAGAATATTTACTCGATCTTGGCTTACCCTATTTGATGTCGTCAATTTTCTATCACAATAACTCTTCGAAACAGTCCCACGAGAAACCTACCAGCGATGATCAGTATTTATTCGATATTCTCCTCAATGATAATCGTGCATTTTTTCAACGCTTGTCGTGGACGAACGAACAGAATCGGCTGAAAGCTATTGAGTACAACCTAATCAAGAACATTGACAATTGCCTGAATACACCGTACGGTGTCAATGAAGTCATTCGACGATTAAGTGATCCGACTGTTGATGATAAATCTCATTTGATGCTCACCGTGGTCGCTACGCTAAAGTAAGACGAATGAAGAACGACTCATTTCATTACAACCTTGCGTTTTTTTAAAATTTTGTCTAGAGAACAAGCGTTAAAATCTATTCTGTTTGATAAATGCTCAGGTTACGATCATTTACTCCTTCAATCCACTGACGTTACTTCTTTTTGGGCTTTTCACAAGATAGTTAGTCGATGTACATCTCAACAGGATAGAAACTATCTTTCTGAATTGTAAGTTCTCTCTCTATACACATCTCGGACTCAATTTCAATCTTCGTTTTAGTCTCAGTGAACTACAGAAACATTGTCAAAGTTTTCCAGTCACTCAACAAACACCTATTGAATTGAATATTAATAATCAACAATTGCTAACTGTTAACATTGATCTCTTAAGTGTACATTCCGAGTATTTTCAATCCTTATTTCACAGTCCTTTTGCTGAACGTCATCGATCGATTATTCCAATTTATCTACCCGAAACAGTCCCAATCGAGTCATTCACACATTTAATTAATCTGCTTGAAAATAACAACGAAATCATTCAACTAGATCGCATCAAGGATTTATTTCTTCTTTGTGATAAATATCTTCTTGATTATTTACCCTACCGTCTCGTTCATTACGTATTGGAAGAATTCCTTCAGGGACGAACAACTGAACTTGTCGATATTGTATCTAAGCCAAATTTAGTCTCATGTCTCATTCGAGCGTTTTTCTCTCATTTATTAATCAATAATGCAAATAGTTCTCTGGACGTCTTTTCCAAACTACTCACATCCTATCCGAACGAACTTCGGATATTGATCCATTCACTCGTACGGCAAACATGTTGGTTTCATGATGAACATTCACCTTTTCTGTCGTGATCTGTACATTCTATGTAATCAAGTGAGAATTGAAACGATTGTTTTCTTTTTAAACCTATGAATAAATTTCGTAGATACATATATACAGATATATAAATAAGGACGAAAATCTTTTAGTTCATTTTCTCTTTCTTTGAACTGATGGTCAAAAAAAAACCATTCACATCCGTCCTCTGTATGAACATATTGGAATGATTTTCATGGAAAATTCATGTTTCCCGATCGAGCGGTTCTTTGTTAATAGTTCTAATTTGAATATAGCGTTAGAGGTAAATGCTTGCGTATACCGAGAGAAATCTTCGAAGACTCCAGTGGACTTGTATGTTTGATGATTAATCGTATCGAGACATGCATCTCAAATCTGGGATTGTTTCGTGAAGGTTAAGATGATTGTTAAATAGAAATAGGGAAAAACAATAATCTATTTAGTCGTCTTCGTTAACGAAGAACAACTTGTCCGAAGGAGAAGTTTTATTTTGTTTATAATCAAATAGTTTTCCAGAAGAGATCATCAATAATCGAAGGAATTTCCTGAGAGAGAGAGAGAAAGAGAAACAAAAACTAAATATGGCCGGAATTGGAATGGTTTTGAGGGAATATATCTTCTACGATGCAACATGATTTGATTAATTACGATGCAGATGAGAATCTATTTTGTTTGATTTCTTATTATTAATTGAAGTGAAAGAAATCTTCGATTATTGTTTGAATGATGATAGGAATGATCAAATTCTGGTAAAGCCCCACCCATATTGATGCATTCCCGCCTTGAGGCAATCAAGAAAAGAGAGAAACAGAGAAGTATGTTCGTACAGCACTGGCTTCATCGCATCACATTTGATCGGCTATCCATCTATTTAACTATCTCTATAGTGAGACAAAGACAGAAAGAGTATTGCATGCTTGTGCGTGCCAATTAGTGCGCCGATCTGTAAACAGCACCGAACGTCTTTCTCTTTCTCATTCTATATATATATATCACATACAGTTAAACCCATCGGCGCCGGTATGGATGCACATAAGATAAGAGATCAAGTGCCTACATGTATTTGCCTGTTTCGCTCTTTTGCTCACGACATATACATTGACTAATTGCCTGGAGGAAATCTTAGCAAAATAAAAAGTCTATCATTATATGAATTGATCAGATAGTTTATCTTTTCAAGACATTGGATAGAGCAGCAATAAAATGTTAGTCCTCGAGGTCGCGATCTCTCTCTCTCTCTTCCGTTGTACTTCTGCATACAAGTAGCGCTGATTACTTGCTAATCATATTTATGCTTACTTTCGTAATCGAAACGGAAAGTTATAACATAGGTACGCTGACTTATATTAATTATAACAATATACTGATGTTATTCATTTCCTTTTTGTTCGACGTTACATATAATTGTCTTAGCGCACATGCAATGTATTTTACTTTCTTCCATTTATTTATATTATGCTTTAAGAAAAAACAAATGCTTCGTTGCATAACTTTTTTTAAATTGTCAAACCGTTTGTCTTCCGGTGAAAATGTGTTGTGTACTCCTCATGCACACGCACGTATATATTTGTATTTATATAAATATATACATCCCAATAAGCAGTCATCGAAGTCAAACAAAAAATAGAAACACTAGTAACATACAATTCTTTTTTCCATTCACTCCTATCCGTTTTCCTTTTCTTACTGCACGACAGCAATTAGTAACATCTTTCAAACTAAGCAATAATTGTTAATGGCTTTTCCATCTTGGCTTTTTTCTTCTCTCCCTCTCTTGACATATAGTTGTAGAAGATCCACCTTGAATAGATGAGATAAAACATAAGATAAGCCGATCGTAGTCACACAAGGGACACATACATTTTATAGGCCAAATATAGTCATAGCAATCTTCTCTTGATTCTCGTTTTTTTTTCTCGAATGCATATGTTTGTCAATCAAATCCCTCTGGTCAAAAAGAAAGGAAAAAGAAGAAAAAACTGAATAAAGAAAGAATGACTGAGAGAGTGGGTCATCTATTTTGATGAAAGTATGTCTAGATGTGCGTGTACACATTCCGTACTCATGCACATTCTTGTTAGCAGAGATTGCATCATTGTCATGTTATTATCAATGTATAAATTGGGAATCTTATCCAGGTGTATATATATACACACATTACCCGAACCCTGGGTAGATTGACGTATGTGATTAGTCGTCGATTAGTCTCTTTTCTTTCTTCTTCTTCTTCTTCGTTCTACTTTTTCAATTTATGCGGCATTTGATGTAGTGTAGTGTGCGTGCGTGTATGCCATATGTAAATTTACTCTGCATATGCGTTTGTGTTATTTACTACCAACACCGTCATAGAGATGCTGATACTTGTCACAGCTTGTTTTGATCGTTAACGTTATATTCACTCGCTCGATCCGACGGCCATCACATTGATTTGCGAGATATTAAGAATATGTCAAGAATAGAAAGGTAACACGAGCGTGCCTTTCTTTCTCTCCCTTTCTCATTCTAATGCGATGCCTCGTTTGCAATGAACCAATTCGATGATAAGTTTAGAGTGAAACTAATACAACAAGAGTATTACCATTAAACGAGAACATTAGTACTCTGTTGGTGATCACCTATTGATCGTTAACTCTGTCTCTCTCTCTCTCTCTCCTTCATGTCTCGTTTTTTTCTCTTTGCTCGATTGCCCATTCAATTTCCCATTACGACTCGTTCATCGCATTCTTTCATCGATTTAAAGTACGTCGAACTAGTTCCTCTCTTCTTTGTCCTGCTTCGATTGAAATGTGAGTAGTTATACTATATACTCATAAGTTAAGCTTTAAGAGTACATTCGAATGGAGATAAAGGCACGCCTGCATATGGAGAGTGAAGTTATCTTTCGTTTTCTAACTACGTAAACTGCTTTTCTTTTTTTTTTTACATACACATATTGCTTTCGATCGTGTAATATCTTGGCAAAAGACCAAGTCTGCATGTTTACTCGTTTATGTTGGTTTTTTTCTCTTTCTCTTTCTTTTTTTACATCTAGTATACAAACTGTCAAACATAAAGTAATATGTGATGTAAAAGATACTTTTGGATGAGTGAGGAAAAGATTGAGAAAACTGATCGTTTATTCGTTCTTGGCTTCATGCCAGTAAACAGTAACACAAGTGATGAATGCACTCGTTTTTGCAAACTATCACTAGGAAGAGATGATGCGTGTATGTGCGTGCGCATCTGATTTGTTTCTATTCTATTTTTCCTTTTTTTTTCTATGTTAGTACTGCCCACTGATTTGTATGTATGTATATGTGCGTCTGTGTCTCTTCTTCTTTGTCTCATTTATCATCTTCTGAGCATACAGGAAATGTGCGAAAAAAAGATTAAATGAAAAAGAGAAAGCGCACGAGAGAAGAAGAGAAATAGACAGAACATGCAGACAGAGAGGAAAAAGAGAAAGCGAATTCTTTAGTAAGTAGTAACAGCAACAGCAGCGCGATGCCACTTTTGACGTGTCTCTAGACACTCATACATACATACATACATACATACACAGTTATTATTAAGGCGGCGTGCATATATCAGAGCTACTCATCTTGTCAAACTAGCCGTGAATGCGTATGTTGTGCACCAGATGTGACTATTGTTTTTTACCAATGAGCTATCTACTCCCATTCTTTCGCCACCCCACCCCTCCTCTCCTCTCACAATAAATATATTTGATCAAATCTTATATTCCAATGTTTGTTCGTATTTCTTTTTTTTTTATTCTATTTAATAACTCTCGTCCTCTCTTTCCCTCCCTATCGTGTACTTGGCGTTTTATATTATTAGAAATTGGCTTGCTCTCTCTCTCATTCGCTTGCTTGATTGTAGTGGTGCGTATGCATTTTGTGTTGTTTTCAAGCATGCAAAGGCATGGCGCAGCGGCAATCGTGGCAGCGGTAACGATTACTATTACAACGAATGAATATATAAATAGAATGAGAAAGAAAGAAAGCGAGAACGAGAGGGAGAGAGAGGAGGTAAAAAAATAGTAGCTTGTGTTCTGAATAGTAAAGTTGTCAAATTGATTTCGTACTTGCACACATGCGTGTACATATCTAGAGTTCTCTATTTTCAATCATTATTATATACCTCGATGGAAGAGCAGAAGGTGTTAAATATATCATCTGTTTATTTTTAATTTATTTTAGTGTATATATATATATAAGCACCTTCTTGTTGAGCTTATTCTTATCTTTGGTCTCTTTCTTTTTTGCCTCATAGAAAGTATGTTTATTTATATTAACTACGAAAAAAGAAGAAATATATACGCATAAATATATAAACTTGTATTGTAAGATTATGTTGAATTGCGCGCCCCCTCTCGTTACGATTATTCTTCTTCATCACCATTTTCCCGTTTACTACTGCCGACCGGCGACAATATGTCGTCGCTCGTCTTCATTGTCCAATCAAGCTAGTTCTGACTCATCCTTATTTCTTTTTTCCCTTCTTGTTATTATTATTATTATTATTATTATTATTGTCGATGTTGTTGTAGTCGTCAATGAAATTTTTCTTTCATTTGTTTTCAGATAATATTTGAAAAATGTTCTTCAATGATTGATTATCAACTTCGATTTGTACTGCTTGGCAGTTCCTAGTTGGTGGCGATTGCCTGTGTCTTATCTATCATCAATGTGTTCTCTTGATCGTACATCTCCGATTCCAATTGAAAGCCATTCATTAATGTCGAATGAAACTGAACCTGAAATAGAATCGTCTACACCTGAATTGAATTTACTATTGGTAAATATCTACTTGAATACATTGAAGATTAGCTTTTAATAATCACGGCACTTTTCATAGGATAAATTAACTGAAATTCTTCGATTTCGTTCGGGCTGTCGTCGACATTTTGGTTATCATCAACAGCAACAACAACCAACTCAAACACAATCGAATTCAGCGTCAACAACCAACTTGAAACGCCTACAATCAGGCAGCATTGAGCCCTTACATGCGAATACATCCGATGTTTCAT